CCAGCAGCATTGAAGGCTGTTGTGCATGGGAACCAATCCTCTGAAGTCACTTGTTCTACTCGAAACTCAAAGAATGACTAATAATAATAATCGCAAATCTACTCCAGTGGTAGAATTCTCGCCGGGTTTGATCCCCGGCCGACTCACTCCTTTACACCTTCTCTAAGCCAGTAATAAGACTGGTAAAGAGGGAAGATTGGGCCAGGTGAGACCGGCTAGCAACCCCATCACGTAAAAATAAAGACCACTGCTACTAGAACTTCAAAACTGTAGCTTGAAGCACTATGTTCCACTAGGAACGTGAAGGAATGAGTTCACTCCAGACACTATCTAGAATCAAAGTCTGAAATTTCTTCATAATATATATACTACTTACTGTCTTGTCAGTAGTTTCATTCGTGATAGATATGTATTACATTATATGAAACGCATTTATTAGTCAATTATTTTAAAGTCTCTATATGATCAATATTTGTATTAGTTTTATGCTATAAAGGATCAGATATTTTTGAATTTTTGTGTTAATGAACTGAAGAAGTCTGTTTTTTAAATAACAAGTTAACCCATTATAAATTATTTAAATTAATCCCAGCGTGTTAAGAAAATCGAAACAAGATTTTTCTGAACGTTTCGCTGTGTAAGCCAGAGCTTCTTCAGCAGATTTATTCGGATTGTTCCGAATAAAGCTGTGGCTTACACAGCGAAACGTTCAGAAAAATCTTGTTTTGATTTTCTTAACACGCTGGGATTAATTTAAATAATTTAAAATAAATCAATCTGACTCGGCGCTCAAATTATTTCAGGAAGTTCGTAACACCTACGGCCTGGAAACCTATAATAACAAGTTAACCATTTGATAAATTCATGACGAATACTATCACGATTCATTTTATGCCCTGCAAAGTGGAACATAGATCCTCAACGACATGTCCCTATTGCATTTGATTCCATGTCATCATTTTCAGCTGTCTTCACAACTGCCCACAACCTTTTATCTCCTCTTCACATGATCTCCTCCATATCATCCTCCAACTCATGTCCAACTCGTCTCTCCCCATTCGCGTCCCACTAGGACACCTGGCATGTAATATCATTTGGAAGATTAGCGATAGTTTGCTAAATGTTTCATTTACCGCCAAAGTTCCTTCTCGCTTATTATTTCTCTTCGGCCATCTAGTCTTCAATATGGTGGTAGGGAAAGCAGCTATTAATGAAAGTCCTCAGTGTCTTGGAAATACTTTTGGTAAAGTTCACACCAAGCTCGTGAACTATGCAGAAGCACTGGCTGAATTGGTGACTCTGTTGAAAGTTCAGATGTAATTCCTTGTGGTGAATGATATAGTTTTCCGCACGGACGCATATCTTGCTCTTCCGATGCCTGGCTGGTTGACTTTGGCATTCTCATGCGTGCCGCCTACAGCAGAAATGATGCTGTCGCAATATGTGATCGAGATAACTGTCCTTATGTTTGTCCCGATGATGGTGACTGTTGTTTGTTTGTTTGTTGTTGTTGTTGTTGGTTGGGTTTCTCCATCACCTCTGTTTTCCCTATATTTACCTCGAGTTCCTCCGGTCTTCACTGACACTTCAGCCAATTTGTTGGTTTTCACTTACAAATTTCCGCGTTTGTGTGACATAAAACATAATTCCAAATCTTTTAGGGTTTTTCTGTCTGTTCAGCATATACCCATCTTCTAAATCGTCACGACCTGTTGCACTATCCAGTCCACGATAATCACGAAGACTATCGGTACTAGTATTACGATGCAAAGATTTGATACACACTCTTACATGTTATCTTATTTCAATCATCGTCTTCTAGTGCATGTAGCAGATGTTTGTTAACACTATCTACTTGATGAGAATACTGAATACTCTTATAAATAGAATTACCTTCAGTACCTAATCCTCCCCTGTTTTAGAAGTTATTTTTATGTTGTCGTTCTGACACTACTTGTACAATAGTTAGTAGTAACGTATACTTCATCACAAAATTTTGATTTTTATAGCTTCATATACTTTCCCAACTACATCTATATGGAATGAAACACTGGTCATATTGGGGTGCACATTTCCTCACGCATATATTACAATATCTACTATTGGCTTGTTTTACCACAGTATTCATGTTCCCTTGTAAGGTAAGTAAGTACATCTCGAATAAGAAATTGATATTTGTTGATATCTTTTTGCAAGAGTTTTAATTTATTTCAAATTTGATCGAGGGATTATTAGACATCCTTCTCGTCCTTTTTTGAAGACCTTCATCAGTACGCAGCTAAAACTCCACAGCAGATAAGTCCCATGATCTTCAGGTTATGAGGCTTAGCTTGTTTATCATTCATTCATTTAGGCTGGGATACAATGACCCATGAATTCTCTTAACTTCTGTCAATTCGAGACTTTAGCTCGATCACCAGCCGCTATTATAGATGAGTATTAGTCTCCACACCCGACTTGATGGACTCCACTAACTGTAGTTTACATTTTGTTTCAAGATCTTTTGTAATCTGATTTAACAGTGTGGTGAGAGCTGTCTACTAGCCAAATTGGTAGACAGTAATTTACGTCAATATTTACGTTCCCAAGATTTGTCGTGAGAAAATGTGAACAAAGTTTGATTCAAAACCGACCACAGCAGACTTTCCGTAGGCGGATGCAGTTAACATATAGAGGATTTGACATTCAAGAAACAGTCACAAATAGATGAAAAATTAACTTTACGTGAGAAACCACCAATCAGAAGACTGTGTTTGTTTACTTAATTAAACTATAATAATGTACATGAAAATATATAAATATGCTTTGATTTCCTTAAAAAACGATCTGTTGCCTAGCCCTTGTTTTCTGTCATTACAATAGTATCAAACAGGCATATCAGTCGAAAATCCACCAGAAGAGTCTCAAACTAGCATGTAGTAGCTGGTGGTTACTCTGCTTCTGAATGATTCTCTTACTCACTCTAATTAGTGACGAAATGTATGCGAAATAAGGATAATATCAATGGCAGATTAATTCTGAATAATATGTTCATATATATAGTGTAGAGTTTTGTATGTTTTAGCGTAAACTCTTTCCACGTTGTAGAGGATATTCATATAAAAAGATAATCCATCCATGATGTATCATTTGACGCAGTGGTATTAGTTATGAAGCACTCTGCAGTCTTCTGGAAGGTTATTCATTCACCTCTTTAAGGAATAAAACAGCACAGCGCCAAGTTGGAAACTGTTTAAAAATGCACGTCAATGACACAAAAGAATTAGTGAGGCAGTATGAAATGGAATAAACTGAATGTATTATATGTCATGGAATATTAAGACAGCCTGTTGATTCAAGCGTCCATGGTTTAGCGATAGAATGCTCACCAACCATTCACACGTGTTCTGGGGTTCGATTTCCAGCTGATGCACTTGTGAATGTCGCTTATGTCGTAGTAGCAAACCCGGTAAAGAGGGAAAGTTGGGCACGAGACTGGCAACCTCAACTCTTAAAGAAACACCTCAACTATTCCTTTGAGGATAAAACTTGGGAACTGTGGTAGAGTATAACTCCATTGTGGATAAAATTGTATTTTGATAAAATCACACAGTGTTGTACAGTAATATTTACTGATGATAACCACGTTTCGAGCACAATTTATTACTGCTCATCGTCATCATATCAAGTCACTCACACAAATTTCTTGCTTAATTTATATACATGAGTGAAATACATGACTAGACATTTGAGTAAAAATCAATATAAGATAAAGTACATTCAAAAATAATAATATTAGTGTTGTCAATCAAATACAATAAGATGGGAGATAAGATGTTTTTATAGTAAAATAAATAAATAAATAACTTGTTAGAATGTTATAATGTGAATTGAATTGAATACATTTCAGCATTATTTATTATCCTTCTCTGATTTGACTGGTATATTATCTTTTATATCTCTGGTATTAACGTTGAGTCATTTCTGTTGCATGTGTTGGGTGTAGATTATTCGATGAACCGGGATTCAGTAATCAGTGTCTCTCTCTCTCTCTCTTTCCACCAACTTATATTACTTTTTAGAATTTTAACCCTCTCCCACCCTATTGTGTGGTTGTGTGTTAATGCACGCAGTGTGATTGCTGAGTTGGGTTTTCTAAGTTAAGGTGGCATTCGAACCTACAAACTCACTCAGACAGGGACAAGCCCTGTAGACTAAAAGACCCGGTGGACTCAATTAAACAAAATGATATTATTTACAAAATAGCTTGCAATGACTGTGAGTTAAGTCAACTACATAGGTTAGTCAAACCAGTAGGTCGGGGGTAATCAGATTGTCGGAACATAAGAATTTAGCTAAGGTAAGAATGGTTGACCCCGAGAAGATGAGTGATTTAGAAAAAAGCTCAGCAATTGCATTACATGCATTAACACACAACCACACAATAGAGTGGGTGGGAGAGGGTTAAGATTCTAAGAAGTAATCTATGTAGGTGGAGAGAGAGATGGCTGATTACTGAATCCTGGTTCATTGAGTCTACACCCAACACATGCAACAGAAATGACTCAATGCAAATACCAGAGATATGTATGGAAGATATTAATACCACCAGTCAGTCAAATCAGAGGAGGATAATAAATAATCTTAAAATTCTATTTCAGTTCACGTACATCATAACATTCTAACAATTAACTTATTATGACTATAAAAACACTCGTCTTATTTCCCATCTGATTGTATTTGGTTGATAACACTCATGTTATTATTTCTGAATGTACATTATCCCATACTGATTTTTATTCAAATATCTAGTCTATTCCACACATGTGTATAAATGAAGGAAAAACGTTGTGTGAGTAGTGGCTTGATATGATTGTGAGCAATAGTTTGTGCTCGAAACGTGGTCATCAGTTAATATAACTGTACAACACTGTGTGATTTATCAAAATAAAATTTTATCCACAATGGAGATATACTCTACCACAGTGCCCAAGTTTTATACTTATACCTCCCTAAACGAATAGCTTAAACCAACTGTTTTGGTTTGACCATCATGGGCTAACTCTTTTCCAACCTGATCCAAGATCCTATATCAGCTAACATTGCCTGTTGTCGAAGAAGGCATGTGGAACACCTGTCCTAGCTGTCCAATATGGATAAAATTTTTATTTTGATAAAATCACACACAGTGGTGTTATACAGTTAGGAATATATTTACTGATGATAACCAGGGTTTCCAGGAAAATTTACTACTGCTCATAATTATAATATCAAGGCATTACTCACACAACTTTCTTGCTTCGTTTATACACATGAATAAAAGTCGATAAGACATATGAATAAAATCAATAAAAGACATGCGTGAAACAGAAAGGAAGATAAAGTACATTCGGAACGAATGTTAGTGTTATCAGTAAAATATAATACAATGGGAAATGGGACGAGTGTTGTTAGTCAATCGGATGGGAAATAAGATGCTTTTATAGTAAAATAAATAAATATGTAACTTGTTAGAATGTTATAATGTGAATTGAATTGAAGCACATTTTAACATTATTTATTATCCTTCTCTGATTTGACTGGTGGTAATAATATCTCCCACACATATCTCTGCGTTGAGTCACTTCTATTGCATACGTTGGGTGTTGGAAACGTGGTTATCATCGGTAAATGTTACTTACTGTATAACACCACTGTGTGATATATCAAAATAACATTTTATCCATTTTGGGGCTAAGACAAGTGTTACACATGTCAAGTCACCGCCTTCCTCAACGATAGGCACTGTTAACTGACTGACATAGGGTCGGTCACGTTGGAAAAGAGCTAGCACTTACGTAGTGGTCAAACCAAAACATGGCTTCATCACATCAGTCCATGAAATCCATAACAGTTAGTTAAAGCCAGTCACGTGTAGGAAGGTGTAGACTTCCTGACTAGCTGGTTGGGATCCTCATAATGGCAAGGACCAATGAAGGCTGGCTGGAAATCGTTCTCAGTGGCTGGTGCATCTGCATTCACTCTTTGTCATATGGCATATCTTGTTAAATATCAGTATCCTCTATTCTCCTTTACCTTTTTCTCTATATGTGCTTACCAAGTGTGATAGATTGAATAGTTTGTACTTATTTAGGCTGAAAAATTCATCTAGTTTTAAGAAGTGTACTAATTTCCACAGTAAACTATTACTTGTGTGTGTACTGCTAAAATAATCCTAAACGCAAGTATGAAATAGTTGTCCAGTACTCCTTGCTGGTTTTCAACAGCTCTCTAACTGACATCACTCTATGATCAGACTTGAAATCACTGAGAACCAAGACATTCTGAATAATTGTTTCGTCCGAGCTTGGGACTCTTCAGCACACTAAGGTTTGAATTCAATATCTGAATATTCATATCCAACTGATTACTATCCACGTAGCATGAGTGTTCCGAAATTCTAACGAGAAATTGTGACTGGTGCAGTCCGCTGTTTCGGCTATGAAGCAGATGCCCATCTATGACACTGGTGGTGGTTGAAGCTCTATTTCATTAATTGACACATGTTTCAATTCATGGGTCACTGAATTACAACCAAATAGCTGAATGACCAACAGATCAACCCTGTAACGTGAAGCTTTTAGCTTCCAATGACTGGTGTGGGGTTGGCGAGCATTCTGCCGCTGTGCCACCGACGCCTTCGCGACTAATGTCCATATCGAAATTTTACTCACATCGATTATAAACTTCATTTGGATGAATGATAATGTCGAAACCAGGGAGCGAAAATGAGGTAGAAGATTTTGTGTGTCAGTTTGTAAGTTAATGACTAAATTTAAGTAAGGAGACAAAGGGTTTGTCTAAACGAGTGCAACAATAAGGGGTAGGGGAATTTACATATGTATACAGAATGGAAGGTCATATGTAAAAAGATGCAACATAATACAGTATTTTTGAATTTATAAGCTCGACAGCAAGTCAGGTTAGCAATATAGTGGCTGGATCTGGTTATTTCTGCACATGGAAAATCGGCTGTTTTAAGCGAATTGCAATAATCTCTGCTGTTTAGGGTATTTGATGCTTAGAAGATTCCGGCAATCAATCGAAATTTCATTATGATCTGACATCGGTTAGGGAGAACCATTGGAAAACCTGAGAGTACTGGATAGTCAGCTGTATGGCGGTACGCGCTCAGAACCTAGGTCGGAACCCAGGATCTTCCAGTTACAAGGTTAACGAGCTCGTAACACATTCAGTCACTGGGATCCGATCCAGTGAGCAGTTTATGAGTCGCAACTTCTGCCAATTGACGACATAGTGTGACTAGCACTAGACATTGTCATAGCTGGCGAGTATTTGTCATCAAACTCGACCTGTTATACCCAGCTGGTCACGAATTCTCACTAGAACACAAGTAACTACCTACCTGAATGGGGCAAGTCACTAGTGGGCATCAGATCAACATCCAAGTGTTGGTTTGGATTTCATAATGATAAGCAGACATCGGTTAGAGAACCAATCGATTAGTTCCCAGTGGCTTAATGGTCTACGAGCCCACTAGCCTTGTAACCAGAAGGTCATGGATTCGAATCCTAGTGGGTGTATACTGACGAAGAGCCCCAAGCTGGACTGACGAAACAACTAGCTGTCCTATGTTCCCTGGTGGTTTTCCAATGGTCCTCCAACCTATGTCAAGATGAAATCCTTGGAAATCAATCAAAAAACTCCCAACAGAGGGCAAAATCTGCCAACATTTATTACTGAACTATTGCAAAGTTACTATAACTACTCATTAACTTACTCATATACACTTTTATGATTACATTTATTCGTTTTAATAGAATCATATATTATCATATTGGCAAAGTGGTCTATTACATAACTGGTTAAATTTTTTAACTGCAATCGATAGTATCATTACAATTTATGTCGGGTGTTTATTTATCAATCGACCAAGTGCTGCAACAGTATTATTTGGATCAACGATATTAGTGAGTCCCTGTGAAATTTCTTTTATACACATACATACATATCTACTTATTATTTTTTTTATTTTATTTTATTTTATTCCTCTTACATTCAATTTTGAAGTTCAAGTAACAGCTATGTTTATTATTTAATGGGGTGGGGTGGGCTGGTATTTTCACCCCTGGTATTCACTCCTCACCAGTCTGACTATCGACTGAGTGAGGTTTAGGAGTCCATCGGCCAGGAATCGAACCCTGGGCCAAATGAGGCGTGGTTGGTGAGTGTTTAACCATTGAATTACCGAAGCAAAGTTAAACTTTAAGCACCTTTAACTACCAATCAGTGAATGACCTTGAACGCACCAATCACATGGAGGAGGCATTTTTGGTTATGGAATCCATGTATTTATTTTTTTTAAATGGATAAAACTTGTATATAACTGTTACTACATAGGATGTCTTTCTTACACATGTGATAAAATCATCTCCCAGTTTATATGAATTGTGATCAATATTTGACCGGATAGATGCAAAATAATTGAGCGCTGAGTGAGAAGTAGACATTTACAAAATTATATTTGTAAAATCTCAGCGAAATTGAAATGATTAATTCCAACGTTTCGTTCGGCAATCTGGTCCGAACTTCTTCAGGGAAATTAATCGAATTAACAGAACAGAGGTTTATATATAAAAGGAACAAACAATTTAAAACAAGAGATGTACTTATATATATAAACACACTAATTTATTTATTTATTTATTATACATGTTGATGCCTGTTGCATGACTCGTGATTGGACAAAGCTTTTAAAAACAAGAGTTGTTCCTTTTATATATAAACCTCTGTTATGTTAATTCGACTAATTTCCCTGAAGAAGTTCGGACCAGATTGCCGAACGAAACGTTGGAATTACTCATTTCAATCTAGCTGAGATTTTACAAATATAATTTTATAAATGTCTCCTAGTTTAGCATAGAAGTATCAACTGGAAAGTTACACCATATCTTATACATATATATTCACATCTAAATGACTATAAATGAACATCCTTTTGAGATCTGTTAATGGCCCTAATCTTGCTTTTGAACCCTCCCCAAAAGCCGTCGATAGAGTTGGTTTGTATTCCTGTAATAGGATGCACAGAATGATTAGAATGGTTCACTCTGTGGTGAATATATCCAAGGGATGACAGGGAGTTATAACCTTTCCATTCATTCGTGTGTATTATAGATCCCTGTTTCACAAGTCGAGTGACAGTAGGTATTAAGGTAGTTGACTTTCTATCTGCTATCCTGCCGATGAATTCTTTCTGTAGAGAGGTGTCATATAAACCAATCATCCAAACATTATTTGCTCGTTCACGACTACGGTTGTATATTTTTCTTTAATAAGACAGTTTCATCTACGTGTACTATGACACCTTCTCCTCCCAATAAGGAAGAAAGTTTCTCCGTTTTCTAGAATGCGATATCCCAGCAGTGTTGGTACCACTGAACTGTTTTAAAACCCAGTAATTACAAATAAGCTAAAATGTGAGTTGAGGACAAGTAAGACCTGGGAAAAAATCTTCCTACGGAATATTAGAATCATCAGCTTACCTTCCCTCCCCTGATACTAACTTGTCTCAAACACATTGCACAACGATGGACATATACATCAATCGACCTGCTGAAGCTTTTTATACTCATGACACCTCCACATGAACAAACCGTATATTTCTTAAGCAACCCCACATCCAAGCAATACTGGAAAACCTTATCCTCAGCAAATTGCAACTGCAGTTGCGTTAGAGCAGTCATTTGACTCGAATCAAGCGGAATAGAAGCCTCAACTCACGTGGATGAAACTTACCGGACCATTCAGGGTTATTCGCTGATTGGTAGTTAATGATGCTTAAAGTCTAACTTGGTTGGAAGTGGACCGGAACACTCAGAACATTACTCTTGAGTCTGGAGACTTGTATCACTCGGCTGATTCAACATGCATACATATACTACTGTGGTCAGTTGTAATAAGTAGGCTCGAAAGTGTTATTTTCCTAGACTAGTTGTACACCATGTTCGGTGGGAGGGAGGGGGGGGATAAAAGCCATCGTAAGGTATTTTCGCGCATAGCGTAGCAAACTATGCGGTGTAGATATTCCAGCCAGATGAAATGGTTGACAAAATACCTTCAAAATTGTCGAATGTAACAACCGGAATCATTACAGCATTTCATCTTAGCACATAATACAAAATCGTATAAGACTATCTCAAGTAACCACCTGAGAAAAATCAAATAGACATTGACCTCCACTGTTCTAATAGTATTAATAATGATAATAACTTTTTTCTGGACAGTGTTTATAAAATATGCGGAATTCTCAGCAGAATTTACTGCGTAATATATCACCTTCGTCCGGCATCTTCGAGTAAGTCATTAGTTGATAGTAGATCGTGTGATGTAATGTCGTCTGGCATGAAGCGTAAATCAATCCCTTGTGATATGTCTTCTTTTGTCTCCTTCGAGAAATGTAGGATATATGGTTGACAGCCGATTAAGAAAAGTTCACAAGCACATTTTATAACTCAAAAGGGATAACTGAACGATCAAAGAAGGCAGGTAATTAATTTGATTTCCTAGGGAGTGACAGTTTGTATTGAAAATAACGTCTAACAGTGTTAATCCTAAGACATCATCGAAGTGTCCATGCTAGGAGGAGCCGAAATTTCTTAACAGAAGCCGAACATTTCCGTTCAATGAATCAACAAAAAATAATTCTTATCCCCATTGCACAAGAGGTGGCTCTCTTGGTTCAAGTGGTCAACAACACATCTCCACTTCGTTCTATTTTCTGTTGTCCTCTCCATCGGGGTCCACTATCGCACATAATCTCTCCTCTCCGCCTCCTCGCCCTACGATCTCCTTCGTGTCATCCTTGCACCGATGATCAACTCGTCGCTTCCCTTTCAGGTCCCATTCGAGCAATGGCCTGTATTGCGGACGATGTCATTCAACCAACCCATCTCTATTTTCTCCTAGATATCCACTTGTTGAGAAGTCGACTCTCACCTGTTGGTTTGCTCTGCTGAAGAGTTTCTTGTTGCTAATTCTTTCTGGCCCACCTTTCGGCCATTCGATCTTCAATTTGGCAGGAAGGCAGCTGTTCAATAAAGTTTGCAGCTGGTTGTTGGAAATTCATTTCGTGACACGCAGTGAAAGTTTATGACCCGTATAAGAAACTGACTGACTTCACATTTGTGTTTGTTCTTTATGATGAGGTGGAGTGCAGAAGATTCCCAAACTAACTTCAGGTTGATGAAGGCGTATCTCGCCTTTCTGAACATGGCCTGCTTTCACATCTTCATCCGTTCCAACTGCCTGTGGTTTAAACTGTGCTTTCTGGCCAGATAAGTGGAAGAAGTGACCTCTTTAAAATTTATTCTGTTGATGATGGTGATTGGTGCTGGTTGTTGTTATTGCTGTTCATCGATTATCTCCATCACCTCTGTCACCACCTTCTCTATGTTCACCTGTAGTCCTGTCTTTGACGCCTGCCTGCCTCGCCTCTTCTACCAATTTGCTGCTTTTCGCCTGTAAGTCTTCAAGATTGGGTGATGTTAAGCATAAATCATCCATGCGCGAAATTCAGATCTTCTTGTATCTTCTTATTGGTCAGTGCAGCTTATTCCTGTCTTCTCACTCGCTGTGCACAGTCTGACGCATAATCCAGTCCACCACAATCTTGTTCTTTTGATGCACATATATTAAAATTGAAGGGTATTCAAAATATTCTTTAACCGTTGAAAAAAAAATGTACCCAAGTATGATTTATTTATTCTCTTTTTTTTCTTTTTAATTTCAGATTGTTATCTTTGTGATGATTATCATCTTTTTCACACCACTGGAATATTTAGCGACTGTCTACTGTTTGATCATATTAGTATTTCCTTTCGCCGACCCATTTTTGGCTTTACTACTAACAGAATTTGTAAGTAGTAGTGTGCTGTTTGTGTGTCAGATTTTCTTCATACATACATACATATGCATATACAATTGATTAAAAATGCCTATTAAAATGTTTTCAAAAGAATGGATACTGAACAAAGAATACTCTTTTCGATAGCCTGCTCTTCATCATCAGGCTGTACAGTTATATATACATTATAGTGAATGAACGAATTAGTGTTATGAACAACATTAATGTTGCTGTTTAAATAGCATCGAATCAATAATATCAACAGATTACAGTTCGAAAGGATCAACACAAAATAAGCTGAATGTCAGAAAAATTAGGAAAGGTAATTTAACAAATTCATGAATTTATAGTCTCCACTGAAGGCTGGCCAGGGCAGTAGTAGTGGCTAGCTGGACTTGCTTCTTCCGTACACAGAGTACCCGTTGTTTAGAGCGAATCAAAACAACCTCTGCTGTTTGGAACATGTGGTACTTCGGTGTTTTTGGATAGAGAAGGATTCTTTCACGCTGGCTTTGTGGCCAGTTTGCACCAGATGTTGCTCATAACACTAATTCATTCATTCACTATAATGTATATATAATTGTTTTAATTCCAGTATAGACAGAATCACTGGAAACAAATATGGACATTAGACGGATGTTTAACTCTGATCGCCAACTTTTCAGCAGAGTTCATTAGTGATCAACGGAATCGTCTCTTAAGGTGAAGTTTTTTAGAGTGAATCTCGGCAAAGTTAAACTTTAGACACCAGTAACAACCAATCAGCAAACGACCTTGAACGGACCAATCACATGAAAGAGGCGTTTATGATAAGTGGTAACGTATATTTATAGAAAAATGCATAAAAAATAGGATGAAACAGTTACAACGGGTATCTTTCGCGAACATGGGACAGAAGCATTTCCCAATTCAGCGTGCGACTGTCAATAGAGAAGTCACACCAAATGATAGCCTTTCCACTCGTCGGTATGTACAACTGATCCCGGTTTCACAAGTCGCTTTATAATAGGTACCAGAGTAGTCGCCTTCCTGTCTGCTATTGTTTCAACAAACCCTTTTCGGAGGGATGTGTCGTATAAACCTATGACCCAAATGTTGTTCGCTCTCTGACGACAGCGGTTATATTTCTTCTTCACCAACACTGTCTCATCCACATGGACTACTACGTCGTCCCCACCTAACAACGAAGTACTTCTGTACATTTTCCATGAGGTGATGTCCCTGCAGTGCTGGTATACCAGTGGTATACCACTGAACTGTTGAGACGAGGCTGTTCTCCGTCTCGGCAGCAGCGGCTCTCACGGGCTGTTTCAGTATCCAGTAGTTGCAAATGTACAAAATCCACAACGATGTACAAAACCATCAGTTGACCTAGTATAGCTTTTTAGAGTCACTACACCACCACACGAACAACTTCTCTCCTTTAGAAGCAAGCCTCAGTCCAGGCAATAATAATAGACACTAACCTCCTCAAATTGCAAACGTAACCGTGTAATGGCACGCAGTAAAATGAATCAAGCGCTATGCAGCATTGAACTACGTTCGTGAATCTCATTGGATAAATCGACGTCGTTCGCTGATTGGTAGTTACTGGTGTCTAAAGTTTAATTTGGCCTGAATCTCTTCAGTAGGGATCATGGGTACACTCACAGCTTAAATGTACCAATCTAGAAAGAGAAGACATGGTTGTGAAAACCTCAAATCTGATTCATTTTAATAGTTTGAGAAAACGTTTGAGGCTTTTTTAGTTAGAAAGGATATTTTCATTACTAATTGTCGATAATTCTAGAAATTACTGTGATAGATAAAAGGTATTGACCAGCAAGACTTTTATTTTCCATTTTTTCGTAATTTGTAACCTATTTGAAAGTTACTCCTGGTTTCTACCAATAAAAATCAAGGATAATTATCTTGAAAGGCGTGTGTGTGTGTCAGTGGTTTAGGGATAGAATCCTCGTCAACCACGCATATGGTCTGGGTCTGGTCGATCCCCGATCGACGCACTCCTAAACACCTTTTAGCTGGTAGAAAGCCCGGTAAAGAGGGGAAGTGGGCCAAGAGTTGGGCAACCTAGTCGGTAACTAATATAATGTGTCTAGTCCTGTTTGGTGCAGACTGAATTCTATCAGTCAAGTTTGCAATGTGGCCACCATGCTAGGTGGCTCGCCATTACGGTGCACTGTGAATTGTTGGTATTAGATGGTTGGAGACAATCGGCCACAGGAAGCCGTGACTTCTACCTAGGTCTCGTGCTAGTTGGAACTCATCAGCAAGGCATAACTGCAACATTGAAGGAACTGATGTCCCTTCTGATATCCGAACCCACGTCACCCAGTGCTGCGGTCAGAGACGTTATCACTGAGCTATTCAGGTTCGCGACTGATCTCCTGTAGGACTGTATTGGATATTTTTGATTGCACACTAGTCAGTAACTAGTGTAATGTGTCTTGTCCTATCTTCGATGCAGACTGAATTCTATCAGTCAAGTTTGCAATGTGGCTACCATGCTGGGTGACTAGCCGTCATGGTGCACTTTGAATGGTTGGATGTAATCGGCAGGAAGCCCTGCCTAGGTTTCGCGCTTGTTACCGTTTGTCAGAAAGGTGTATTTCATGGGATTTGGTCTGCACCAATCAATGACTTGACAATTATGATCGGAACTACGACCTAGTAGAGTAGACTATGAGCGAATACTAACTTAATGCGCTGGCTAATCTCTTCTAATTGCACGTCAATGACGACAACAACAATAACACCGCCAGTACATAAAGACAAAAGAAAAGACTGGACGTCGATAAGAGAGCTTTTACTGTCTCAAACAACAGTCAAAATGCTAGACAGAAACTCTGTATATAATATAGAGAGAGAGTTTGATCTACGAAATGCAGTAATTCAGTGATGCATTAAAAGTGATAACAGCCAAAAGGAATCCAGCAATCCAAACAGGGTGGGAAACAAATAGCTCACACCAATGCGCGATAACTCCCTAAAATAGTGATTTTAAGAGATTTTAGGCGAAATCGGGCAAAACTAGGTGTATGTAACATTGACGAATAATATTAGATACTTACTATCCAGTGTTCAATCGAAGTATCTAATACAGACATAAAGGAGGTCAGTCGCGAACCCGAATACTTCAGTGGTATAACGTCTCTGCCATTGCAGCACTGGATGATATGGGTTCGAATCTCAGAGGCGTCATGATTTTCTTCAGGGTTACAGATAAGCCTTGCTGACTGCTGAGTGCCAGTAAGCACAAAACCAAGGTCCAGGGTTTCTTTACGATGGCTTTCAGCGATCTATTAACATCACTTAGTTCTCGCTAGTAAGCACTACTAGTTGATGTGAGTGGCATACAATTACTCATCTCACTCATTCAGTAGTATGTAGTGGTTGTGTTTGTATATTCTAACTTCCTGTAATAAGCGAATTCTATTTCACCTTAATCTAGTTAACTGATATTATCAAATTAGTGTAGGTGGATTTCAATTACTCAAAGGATTTTTTGGATTGATGCTCTGACACCACTATTGTTGATGAATATGGTTGAGCAGCTGAGGGAGAGCACGATGAAACAGCTTATCAGACATCATCCAAGGAGTCATAATGCACTAAAGGATGAAACCTAAACATAATTATCATTCTTCCCTCTGTACTGCCTCACGAATTGACCATCTCTGTGTAATTTCTTCCAATTAGTTTCCAGCTTAGCAAATAATCAAAGGCGTGGGTATGCAAGCGGATGGGGCGATATTTCTAACATCTGTCCAAGCCATTAAAGCTAATATTCCAGAATGATATTACTTACCGGGAGCGAGATAATATAGGATCATATATATTATTATAGAAGGAGTAGTTTTATTTTCATAAGAAAAAGACGTAAACAACTGAGGAAATTTTGGGAATCATTGGCAGTACGCACCCACCACAAGGGTTCGAACCCAGGACTTTCCGGTTACAATGCAAGCGAGCCACCTGGCATGGTAGTCACATTGCAAACTTGACTGATAGAATTCAGTCTGCATCGAAGATAGGACTGGACACATTACACTAGTTACTGACTAGTGTGCAATCAAAAATATCCAATACAGTCCTACAGGAGGTCAGTTGCGAACCTGATTAGCTCAGTGGTAACGTCTCTGACTGCAGCACTGGGTGACGCGGGTTCGGGTCTCAGAAGGGACATCAGTTCCTTCAAGGTTGCAGATACGCCTTGCTGATGAGTTCCAACTAGCACGAGACCTAGGTAGAAGTCACGGCTTCCTGTGGCCGATTGCCTCCAACCATCTAATACACTAAAGTATAGCAATCCAAGCAAACGACCAACTTTGTAGAAAACAGATTACGTGAGAAAAATATAATCATAAATGATGGTAATCTCTCTTATATGTACCAGGAATGCCTCCCGGTTTGTCAGTGAGGTACTTAGAGCTATTTTTAACCACCTTTTGTACGTAAAATCATAGAAATGACTTTAGATCATCCTGTCATTTAGTGATCTATTTGTTGCTGGAATCCTATTTTTCAAAATCCTCGACATAAACCTCTTTTGGAATTGATGTGCATTCCACTCAACAGATCAATAAAATCAAAGGATTTCAGTAATTTGAATATATCTCTATAGTTTAATCAGGAGAAGAAAATATTTTTGGGCGAACAACTGTTTTCAATAACCTCTACTAACTAACTGCCTGACTGGTTTCAACGTAGAACTTTGCACATATGTGCAGCAGTCCGATCAGCCACACCACCGAGAGAATAGAGTAAATTGAGGTTCAAAGGACAGATAATAAACAGATTTGTGAGTGAGGGAAAAGAGGAGTTAGTAATAGGGAAGAATAAAAGAATTTTATTAGATATGAAAAATCACAAAGAGTGAATGCATCGGCACCAGTTATTGATAACAAGGATTTTCATCCATATCACCGATCATTGTTTCCACCCATCATTGGTTCTTACCATCCCAAGAACCTCAACCAGCCAGTCAGGAAGTTTACACCTCCTTATGTGACTGGCTGACTGGCTGGCTTAAACTAACCGTTATGGATTTTGTTGACTGATGAAGCCATGTTTTGGTTTGACCACCACTTCTTCTTCTGGCTCTACAGTCATAAATTCATGAATAATATTAGTATACAAATAGTCATTAATAGCGGCTATTGAAAATTACGTCAGAAACCCAATGCAAGCTCGTATACCACTCAGCCACTGGAACCCAATTCAATGATCAGTCCATGAATTCTAACTTCTACCAATTCGTGATTTAGCTCGACCACCAACCAGTGTCGTCAGAGGGAAATCCATCCTCACACTTCATTGGATGGACTTCACTGGTCACGACTTCTCACTAGAACTCCAGGAAACTCCATCCTGTAGCAGGTCACTAGCCAGCATCAGATTAATTTTCAGAAAATTTTCTTCCCGACGATTCATTTTCATAAGCTACTTTACAATAATCTTAATTATATTTAACGAAGAATTCATAAGACGACCAATCAGATACTACTGGTAAAATTTGTCCTCGGAAAACGTACTAGGTAATGCGAGGTGTAACCTAGATGAGGTGACTAACTGGAAGTTATAAAGGAGACAGAAGTTAACGTGACATAATAATTGTGAGAAAATGACTAATCAGTATGTTTGTGTAGAATGGACAGGAACAAGTGGAAATGAAATCCATGAAAATGCAATGTTATTCACAAACAGTAATAGAGTGATACTAAAATGTGGATGATGGGAATAATAATGATAACAAAATAATAGTATTAATAACAATAATAATAGTAAACTTACATGATAAAAAAGAGACAAAATTATAGTAAAAACGTTACTCTGGCCACGATAGAGCGACTAAATGTATGTAACGCTTTTGAATGCAGAAGTTCAGTTTCAGATCCCGAATAGCCAATGATTCAGCTATGTACAGATGGCGTATGTGAAGTCACTTTGCACGATATTGAGGGACTGGGTGTAGCACTGTGAAGCATTCATGCAGGGTGGCGGGAAGGGGGTGCTCGATGTCCAGAGTTGACAAGGTGTTCGAGGATGGAGCTGCCACTATTCTTCTTCTCTTCTCTGACTCGCTAACCAAGCTGAACAATATTCCAGAATACGTTCATGGACTTGACGTTGCTCACGGCCGATATACTTTACTCCACCCGAAGAAGTAAACTGATAAATACGCATTGAAGAGGCCAAAAGCGGTATCTTATCCTTAACGTTTGACTGGATTAACTGTCCACTGGAGAATGTGATATGTAAGGTGGCTGTTTGAAATGTCTTCTTGTGTAATATATGTGTTATAATGTGTGAAATGTTTTATCGTCCTCATTTTTATTTCACCGAAAATATTATCGATTATTACTCACAACACCTCGTTTGTTGTATATGCACATATTTTTCCTTTCTCTCCTCAGAGATTGAGATGTGAGAAAGTATTCCTGTTTGGGAAATCTGATGTCGACTATATCACATCATTATCTCGTCTATTACAGTATGAGCATAATAAAGCTAGTCAAACTATAGTAAGTGATTTAAAATTGAAATTTCCATTTTAGATGGATATGTGCACTTATTTATGACTTTGTTTGTATGTGAGTTAACCAGTTATTCATGTCCCATTTCTGTTGAACGTTATGCAGCGATGAGACTCAGCAATGTCTTTATCACAATCACATCAATATAAAAGATGTTTAAGGGAACCTGATTACCAAGGAGGGGAAACAAATGAAACAATCAATGGGCTGATCACTTTAAAGGACTCTTAAATCGATCATCACCTGCAACTCGCCCAGAAGTACCGCCGACAACACTCACAGAACTGCCTGCCAGTGGACACCAATCCTCCAACGAAAGCAGAAGTCTTGAATGCAATCAAGCTACTGAACACTGACCGGGAAGGCAGCAGTGCCAGACGGAATTCCCCCTGAAGCACTAGAAACGCACCCGGAGATTGTGGTAGATGTGCTCACACCATTATTGCGAAAGGTTTGGGCAGAAGGAAAGGTGCCTACCGATTGGAAAAAAGACTGGCTACCTTGTCAAGCTATGAAAGAAGGGCGACTAACGCCTCTGCGATAACTGGTGTGGAATAATGCTCTTGTTCATGTCAAGTGAAATACCAAGTCGCGTCATCTTGGAGAGAGAGTAAGAAATGCACTGGATGCAGAACTCTGACTGATAGAACAAGATGAATTCAAGAATAGCAAATCATGTGCTTGATCAAATTGCAGCTCTACGCATCATCATGACAGAACAAAGCATAGAAGGGCAGTCAACTCTGCTTCTACCTCAACTTAATCTACTTTGAAAAGGCCTTCGACAGATAGCGTTGGCAGAGAAGTAATCTGGAAACTCCTTCAACACTATGGCGTGCAATGCCCAAACCTTTATCGACCTCATTCAGCAGCTGACTATATGACGATGACACGTGTCAGGTGATCCACGACGGCAAACTCAGTGAGATGTTCGAAGTACATACAGGAGTAAGACAAGACTGGCTGCCTCTAATCAACAATGATGTTTTTTATTTAGGCGCCAAACTGTGCGTGGGGATTGAGAAGACAGTAATACATTAGACTGATAAGAAGGCTCTAAAAGGTCTGGATTTCACGCGTGGATGATTTATGTTTAATGTCACACAAACTCGAAAAACTGAAGGCGAAAAGCAACAAACTGGCTGAATAGGCGAGGCAAGCAGCCAAGACAGGACTATAGGTGAACATAGAAAAGAAGGAGCTGATGAAGATAACCAACCAACCAATATTGACAACAACAACAACAACCAGCACCAATCACCAACAATGAGAGAGATTTAACAGAGGTTACTTCCTTCACTTATCTGGCCAGGAAGCATGGTTTCAACCACAAGAAGTTGGAATGGATGAAGATGTGAAAGCAGGCTAGAATCAGAAAGGCAGGAGGCTCCTTCATCAACCGGAAACCAGTTTGGACATCTTGTTCACTGCACTCTATGGCATAAAGAACAAAATTCGAATTTTCAACACAAATGTGAATTCAGTTATTTCTTCTTTACGGGTAAGAAAGTTGCACTGCGTGTCACAAAAAGGATTTCCGACAGGTTACTGCAGACTTTTATCAACAGCTGCCCACTTCGCTGGCTTCATACTGAAGATCGAATGACCAGGAGGAATAAGTAACTATAAACTGTGACTGGGAGAAAATCAACCAAGAACCGATTGTTTAACAAATATGTAGAATAAAATGGAGATGGATCGGGCAAACGTTGAGTAGACCGTCGAATGACATCACATGCAGTGCAGGCCATTGCTCGAATGGAAATCCAGTGGGAAGTGACGAGTGGGTCGTCAGTGTGAGGGTGACATGGAGGAGATCGTGCTATTTTAGGGAGGAGATGAGAGATAATGGACAATCTTCGGCCCTCTGAAGAAGAAGATGGGACACAGTGGAGATGCGTTGTTGAAGCTTTATGTCCCACTTGGAACCCAAGGGAATAATAATAATACTCACACCAACCATTATTACTTGCTAGCTAGCTAGATTAAACTGATCTAATTACCGAACAGCCGTTGAGCTCGTTTGGGGTCGAATCCATCAGCGTTGTACCCTGTCTGACTCAGTTCAAAAGGTCGAATTTTTATTTGTTTATTTATTTGTTTTTATCGTAGCTTGACTCCATAGAGTATTTTTGTACAGGTATGGGATTTTCAGCATGTGATATCGGTAGCCCAAATTTAACAGGCTGGACATTGATATCGGGGGTGCTTCGGCCGGGGATCGAATCCCGGACCATGTGCATGGTCTGAGAGCGTCCTAACCGCATGTCACCGACGCTAAATAAAGGAGTAATCCGAAGACCTCCCCACTAGCGAAAACCACTCGTGCGAGCAAGCCCAATTAGGGATCGTCGCAGACTTCAACGCGCCGAAGTGCAAAAGCGAGCCTCCTCCTGAGGCTAGGGCATTCGTGATCACCCTGGTCCCGGAGCCAAGTTCAAATCACCTGATTTATGGCTAGCTATTTGGGTGAACTTGTAATACCAATTCGCAACAATTGAAGTTGATTACCTCACGACAGTTTCCTTTTTAAACTGGAATTATTCAGTTCGCAATGCATGTGATCCACTTGATACCATAAATAGTAATGAAGAAACCAAGTATATTTACATAGAACCATATACTACTGATTGCTTGATATAAGTAGTTGTATACCACTGATCTGCCTGCCCGAGCTAAGTTAAACCGGGTCCAACACTGATGGCTTTCACCTCAAACGAGTGAAACGACCATCCAGTATTTAGATCACCTGGATCTGGCTGGCCAGCAAGCACTACTGGTTGAAATGAGTGGTCGTATACAACTACTCACCTCAATCAATAAGTAGTATATGATATTATACAAATATGCTTGCTGTATTGATTAGTATATATGGTATCAGGGAGATCATACATTGTGATCTGGTGAGATTGAACTCCTTGGACTGTTTAAATTGCAAATTAATTCGGAACTTGTGAATTTGATTTATGCATTATGTGAATCACTTCAAAGTGCGCTGTGATGGTGAGTCACCTAACATCCTGTGACCAGATGACAAAGTCGACTAATAGAATTTAGTCTGCATCAACACCAAGGAATATACATCCGAAATTGGCTACTCGTTAGTGAGCCAGAAGTGGAACCATTACACTCCTGCAGGAGGTCACTCATGAACCCGAAGACCTCAGTGGTAGCATCTCCAATTACAACACTGGACAATGTGCATGTACATAAGCTCATTCGAGGTTACAGATACGTCTCGCTAACAACCACGACAACTAGCTAGGTTCAGGGCTTCCTGTCGATAACTGCCAACCATCTAATCAGTAATATAAAGTAAATTCACAAAGACTACCCGTTAGGAAATGTTGAATATCAAAACAAGTACTTCGGAAAACAGACTGTTTTCAATAAATTTATTATCAAGGTGTATTATCTTTTATTCGACTATGTCTTATCATGTAACTTGAAGTCAGTTGGTTGATGGTGACTAGCAGTGGAATCCACCGGAATTAGCATTTCGTTCTATTCGCTACTCGTCAGCCAGTGGATGTACCTGCACTCCCCAGTGACTGGTTGATGGTGTTTCCACCGAGGCTGGAATCCAGTGCCCAAAGTTTCAAACGCCAAAGCGTTATCCACTACATCACTTGGGCTACGAGAGCCACCTCTGGATTCCACTACTTCTCACCATCAACGAACTGACTTCAAGTTATATGACTAGACATCGTTGAAGCATCTGCAAAAGGAGTCTCTGACATGTCAACCTGTGACCGAGCAGTTCGGTCCAATCGATCGATGGGAAAATCTAAAATTGAATGAATTAATTAATTAGAGTGCCCCGTTACACACGAAGTGACTCTCGCGGCCCAATTGGTCTAGTGGATAACGCTTTGGCGTTTGAGACTATAAGCACTGGGTTCGAGACTCGTCGGGAAATGCAGGTATATCCCCTGGTTGATGAGTCGCAAACAGGAAGAAATGCGCATCCTGGTGGATTCCACTGTTAATCACCATCAACCAGTTGACTTCAAGGTGTACAATCATTTATATATCACTTACTTAATGATACTGTGAATCACAATAAAGTATTTGTGACCACAGTCATATTTAAACGTCAAGTGACAAAATAGATTATGTACTTTATAAAACGGTTCATAGAAAGCATAAGTCTTGGAAGCAGATGCAGAATTAAGAAGATTAGTAGACAATTAAGACATTACGCAACCAGAGAGGAAGAGTTATGATAAGATAAAACTGCAAATAAACGATTTGATATTGAATGGAATAAATAAAGAGTGACATGTGGAATATTATTATTATTGTACCCTTGGGTTCCTAGTGGAACATAGGGCTTGTTTCTGTCTTCTGCTGTACTTTTCACCTGCATCCATGTTAGTCCATACTGTTTCAACTGCTCTTCACACGATCTCCTCCATGTCACCCTTGCACTGACGTCCCACTCGCCGCTTCCCTTTCGGGTTCCACTCGAGCGATGGCCTGACGCGCGATGTCACCCAGCGAGTGGCCTCCTCAGCGAGTGTCCAATCCATCTCCACTTTCTCCTGCATATTTGTTGAGCGATTGGTTCTTGTTTTGTTTGTTCCCATAGTTTCTTGTTGGTGATTCTTCCCGGCCATCTGATCTTCAGTATAGAGCGACGAAGACAGCTGTTGATAAAGGTCTGCAACAGGCTGTTGGAAATATTCTCTGTGACCCTCCAAGTTTCTGATCCGTATAGAAGAACTGACTTGACGTTTGTGGAATAACACACAGGAAATTTTTCAAGGTAAAAATAGAAATATAATGGAGGAGAATAGATATACAGAGTGAATAAACAGAAAGCAAAATAAGTAGGGAATTATAATAGTTTAACCTAGATGGATTAAGGATTGGCTGAATAAGTATTTTCTGTTTCAGTAGCCAAAGAGTCAACAAGACAAATAAGTCGGATATGTAGTGATTTTGGCAGATTGTTATTTGTCTTTTAGATAACTTTAAAGGAAGACTGACTGACTGGTTTCAACGTAGATAGAACTTTGCACAGATGTGCACCAGTTCCAGTTGCCACACTCCCTCTATGTACCATACAAAGCAAGAGGAAAGAGTGCAGAGAGATTCAAAAGACACACAGAGATACAGATAATAAACAGAAATATAAGGCAAAAAGAATAGTAACATGGAAGAACAATAAAGTTTTTTTGGATATTATAAATGGCGAAAAGTGGATGCAGCTGCCCTAGTCACTGAGAACGATTTTGAGCCATATCACTGATAATTGTCTCCAACTTTGAGTGGTTTTCACCATCGCGAGGATTCCAATCAGGAAGTATACAATCTTCCTACCTGGCTGACTTAGACTAAGTGTTGTGGATTTTATTGACTGATGAAGCCACGCTTCGGTTGGACCACCAATGGCTCTTTCCCAAACTGATCCATCTTATGTCATCTAACATTACCCATCATCGAGGAAGGCGATATCTACGCATGCGTAACACATATCCTAACCATCTCAGTCATCTTGACTTCACAGCCTCGTCTATTGATTTCCCCTCCTTGCCTAGCACTCGACTAACCCCCAACCTCATTATTGCTTACCCTATTATACTACTTCACACGGGAGATAGAACGTAGGTACCTATGATCAAAGACAACTAGCCAGTATTTTCATGTCTTCACTTTCACCGAGGGCGAGGACTTTCGAGTGGTTGCGCCACAGGTTGATACTGCACGCCGATCTTGTCTCGCAAGAGGCAGGGATAGATGTGTGAAAATCAATACCCAGTCAATGTGTGTACCATTACGTGTGAATTTAAAGGAAGAAGTTGTAGAGATCAGGTGAGCCCAGTGTCTACCACATGTGTTCAATGACTGCACTTCTCATTCGCCAACTTTCACCTTCTCTTAACCACGCAGGATAGTATTCCTGCATCCTTCTGAATGAAACTCGCATAGAACGACTGATATATACCTAACTTAACAGGTGCAGGTAAACTAGTGTAAATACATACAGAGAGCTGGTCAACTGTGAGATTTTGTCCTTTAGGTTATTGAACAACAATGGCTGATTGAAAAGTACTATTCTCAACGATGTTGCAACGGATATCCGTTACAGGGACTGTGGCATCCTTCTTTTAAAGATGTCAGAATATAATTCACCTTTGAATTCAGGATCCATATGAAGCGTTTTCATGGATACAAATGTTAAATCACATTTTTTGCTGTTTTAATTAACTACCAACCTAATCACTTCTACACCGCCACTCTATGATTTACACATTCCACAATCTATTTTATCAAGTATTGATTTGATTTTATTCCCTTACGTTCCAAGTGGGATATAGGGGACCTTCAAGCTAGAGCTTTGAAGTTTCGATAGCAGTGGTGTTACTTTTTACGGGATGGGTTTGCTAGCCTCACCTGACCCAACCTTCCCTCTTTACCAGTCTTATAACTGGCTCAGCGAAGGTGTAAAGGAGTGCGTCGGTGGCCGGGGATTGAACCCCCAGGATCACATGAGGCGTAGTTGGCGAGCATTCTACCGTTGTGCTACTGACGCCCATTTTCTCAAGTATTTTTTTTAGTCTGAAGCTTAACTACGATTATAATCACAAATATTTTTATGGTATTTCACATTATGCATAGTAATATATTACTGGAGAGAATCAAGCAAGCCCTGGATGAAAAAGTTCGACCGGAACAAGCTGGATTCAGGAGAAACAAGTCATGTATTGATCAAATCGCCACACTACGGATCGTCATTGAACAAGGCTTGGAATGGCAGTTACCTCTCCATCTCAATTTCATCGACTTTGAAAAGGCCTTCGATAGCGCAGCGTCGATCGAGAGGCGATTTGGAAACTACTTCGCTATTACGGCTTGCCACCAACAATTATACACCTCATTCGACAGTTGTACGGCAATGCTGCGTGCCAAATAATCCACAATGAGAAACTCGCAGAATCCTTCGAAGAAGTGAAGACCGGAGTAAGACAAGGAAGGATGGCCGCCTTCTATCGCCAATGATTTTCCTGATTGCAGTAGATTGGATAATGCGACAGACAGCGGTGAGCAACGAGGAGACAGGCATAAAGTGGACCCACACAAAAACAATTTGGACGATCTGGACTTCGTCGATGATATATGTCTGATTTTCCACAAACTTGAAGATATGCAGAGGAAGCATCAAAGATAGGACTTCAGGTGAACATAGGGAAGACAGAGGTGATGAAGATTCCTGGCCAACATCAACAACAGACAACAATCAGCACAAATGGGAGGAACCTGAAAGAAACAACCTACTTTACCTACCTACCTGGGAAGCATCGTTTCAAATACAGGCATAACTGACGAGGATATCAAAGCAAGAATCGGAAAAACAAGACAAGCTTCCACTACTTTAAAGTCTGTGTGGAGGTCAACAGCACTCAGCATGAAAAATAAGATCCGGATTTTCAACTCCAATGTGAAGTCAGTCAGTGCTAATACACGGATCAGAGACTTGCACTGAGCGTCATAAAGAGCATCTCAAACAAACTAAAGACCTTCATTAACAGTTGTCTTCGCTCAATACTACTCAAGATCAGATGGCCGGCCAGAAAAGATCAGCAACAGGGATCTCTGGCAACGAGCAAACCAACCAGGAACCGATTGTGCAACAAATATGCAGGAAGAAATGGAGATGGATTGATCGCCATACTCTGAGGAAACCATCAAGTGACATCACTAGACAAGCCATTGCTCGAGTGGAACCTGGCCGAAAGGGAAGCGGCGAGTTGGTTGTCAGTGCAAGGGTGACTTGGAGGAGGTCATGTGAAGAGGAGATGAAAACGTGTGGGCAGACATGGAGCCAGGTGAAGACTCTAGCAGATAACCGAACGTGCAATGGAGACGTGTGGCTGAAGCCCTATGTTCCTCTAGGAATTAAAGGAAATAAAAAATAATAATAATATAATAGTAATATATATGTATGCGATAGTACAGCTTGAGATAATAAATAATTCTCATTGAAGAAACGAGTCTGTTGGTGTTGAACCAACACTCTTGTTTTCATTTTCTATGTGTAGTATACAAGAATAAAATTCTGCGTATAGGTTTGGTTTTACTTTCATGTAAAATAGAAAATCAAAGTTTTTGATTAGAAATTCTCATGAATTGTATTCACTTCTTTTCATCTGTTTTTTCTGTTTCTTTCTGTTTTGTTTTTTTTTTGTACTTTTCCGCCTTTAAAGCATTTAGTGCGAATATTCATTTTTAGTGGCCTGTTTATCGGAACAAATGTTTACATTCATCATATTAGACCGCATCAAAGAAAAGTGAATTATTATAAAGTGCTTAAACAGTTGAGACCGTTAAGTGAAATGAAGACAAAACATTTACCACGTAAGTATGTCTACACCTATAAGAATAGAACTTGTCCACCGTAGTGGTGGTGAGGGGGTGGTAGAGTATAATTCCATTATGGGTAAAATTTATTTATGATGAAGTCACACACAGTGGTGTTATACAGTAAGTAATATTTACTGATGATAACCACGTTTCAAGCACAATTTATTACTGCTCATAATCATATCAAGGCATTACTCACACAATTTTCTAACTTCGTTTATATAGTTCCATCATTATTTTTCATCTCTTCACTTGATTGGTAGTAGTACTTTCCACTTAGGTGGAGAGAGAAAGGTTGATTACTCATATTGCTCTTTAGAATTTTGACTCTGTCTCACCCACACTATTGTCTGGTTGTGTGTACAATCGCTGAGTTTGTTTTTCTAAATTACTTATCTTCGCGGGTGGGGTCAATCATTCTAACCTTAGCTAAATTCTTATGTTCTGACAATCTGACTACCCCCTCCCGATCTACTTGTTTGACCTATATAGTTGACGTAACTCACAGTCAATGCCAGGGTATTTTGTAAGTTATATTATTTTGTCTAATTGGATCAACCGACATGGTCCTTTAGTCTACAGAGTTTGTCTCTGAGTGAGCTTGTAGGTTTAAATGCCACCTTAATTCCTACTTTATTAAGAATTCTACGTAGGGTCTCAGATGCCCTATCCTTGTAAAGTAGAATTGTAGATGCCTTATATTCTTTCTTATTTATGATATCATTATTAGTTTCACCATTATTTTTATTTTGTCTTTGACCTTCCTAATGACCTACAAACTCACTCAGGTAGAATAAGCTCTGTAGGCTAAAGGATCCGGTGGACCCAATTAAACAAAATAATATAATTTGCAAAACACCTTGCAATAACTGTGGGTGAGGTCAACTACATACATAAAATTAGTAGATCGGGCCGAGGTAGTGAGATCGTCGGGACATAAGAATTCAGCTAAGATAAGAATGGTTGACCCCACTAAGATAAGTAATTTAGAAAAACAAACTCACCAATAGCAATGCATGTATTAACAAACAACCACACAATAGGGCGGATGGGACAGAGTTAAAATTCTAAAAAGAAATATAGGTAGGTGGAGAGTGAGAGAGAGCGGTTACTGAATCTTTGTTCATCGAATAATCTACAGCCAACACATGCAATAGGAATGACTCATTATTCATACAGAAAATGTGGGAAATACGATGGAAAATAATGATGGAATTATATAAACGAAGTTAGAAAGTTGTGTGAGTGATTACCTTGTTGTGATTATGATCAGTAATAAATTGTGCTCGAAACGCGGCCATCAGTAAATATTACTTACTGTATAACACCACTGTGTGTGACTTCATCAAAATAAATTTCACCCATAATGGAATCATCTCTACCTACTTTTACATGTTACTTATTTTCGTTGCCGGAAACCTTTAAGTCTTTAGACTCCAAAGGGGTGGGGTGGGGGTGTATGGGAAGTATGGTGGTTGCAAAGCTGAAACTTAAAGGAATTAACGGGAGGACATCACCACAAGAGTGGAACCTGCGGTTTTTGATGAATTCGACTCAACACGAGAAAACTCACTCACTGTGGATGATTGGTGTATGGCCATTCTTAGTTAGTAGTGGAGTGATGTGTCTGGTTAATTCTGAGAACGAATGAGACTTTAAGCTAGTAAGTAGTAGATTGGTCGTCTCACTACTGAGGTACTACTAGTATATGTGTATTATCATCTTTGATACTATTGCATAATAAAGATTATTTTACACTAGGTGAATTATTGGTGTATCTTGTCAGTCGTTCACTTGTAGAATACTCGTCAGTCAAGCGTTATAGTCTAGGTTCGAATGCCGGCCGGTTCAGCCTTCTAAAAATCTCGCTTAATTTACTAGCATTAGATAGTAACTTCATACATTTATTCCCCTTACAGAATTTGAATAAAGCAAAAACAACAGTGTGGTTTGTGCAGAATAAAATGGTACCATTATCGTTTATTTTTTTTGACTTCTCAGCAGCTGCTTACAGCCTAAAGACAATATTAAGTTCACTTACAGAAACAATATTGACATACTTGCACAGCGAGTTCACTTTTAAACAAAAAATCACTCAATCAATATATGCATACTATACTAATGATAATAATAATAAACACTTTATTATTATAAGCACTGGCGAAGACAGGACTTAAGGTGAACATAGAGAAGGTTGTGACGGAGGTGATGCAAATAATCAATCAAAAAACCAACAGCAGCAACAACCAGCACCAATCACTATCAACGGGAGAGATTTGACAGAGGTTACCTCATTCACCTACCTAGGAAGCACCATTTCAACCACAGGCAGACTGGACGGATGAAGATGTCAAATCCAGCCCGAATAGGAAAGGCGAAATATGCCTACATCAATCTGAAATCCTCTGCTTCACTCACTCAGCATAAAGAACAAGATTCAGATTTTTGACACCAATGTGAAGTCAGTCAGTGCCTGTGTACGAGTTAAAATCTTGCAGTGCGTGTCACAAAAAGGATTTCCAAGATGCCTTGTGCAGACTTTTATTGACAGCTGCCCGATTCGCTAGCTCTATACTGAAGATCAAACGGCCGGCTGGTCGACCAGAAATAATTAGCAAGAAGAGACTCCGACTGGGAAAAAACAACCATTTAGCAAGAGCCGATTGCTAAACAAATATATATAGGAGGAAATGGAGATGAATTGATCGGGCATACATTGAGGAGACCGTCGAATGAAATCGCACTATCACCAGGCCATCACTCGGGTGGAACCAAAATGGCAACGACATGTGGGTTGTCCTAGGGTGACATGGGGGAGATCGTGTCAGTTGGAGGAGGAGATGAAACATTATGGTCAATCTTGGATCCAGATAAAGAGGACGGCAGGAGATAGGACAAAGTGGAGATGTGTTGTTGAAGCCGTATGTTCCACTTGGAACCCAAGAGAGTGATAATAATAATAATGCATATATTGATTTTTTCTTGTTTAAAAATGGACTTTCTGTGTAGGTATGCTGACATTGTTTCTGTATAGATGTACTTAATAATGTTTTTGAGTTGTGAGCAGTTGATGAGAAGCCAACAAAATAAATGATGATACCATTTTATTATTAGAGCATATATATATATATATAGTAAGATCATAGGCGCTCTTAAAATGAGTGATTTCGTTGCTAGGGTGGCGATAAATGAATGGTAAGTGCGTAATCACTGATAACAGAAATACAACAATTACAACTGAAAGAAGATTGGAAAATCAGAATTTGGTGTTTACGAAATAGGACAAAGTGATGATGACACGACATAATACAGTGAGTAGAATTCGAAGGATAAAAAATTAAGCCTAACATGAAAAGCAAGCGAGAAGTGGATGTGATGGTGTGGAGAGTATTGATACAAAGTGAGGAAGTAAGATGACAACAAGTTACTAAAAAGAGAGTGACCATGGTAATTTAAGCCCTAAGTGGGATTCATTTTGAATATATAGATCAAGTTTCAATTGTTTTTTTTTATTGTGATAGCTTCAGCTAACAAAAGAAGGAGAAGAAGAGGATTTGGACTGTTTTATCTCGTAATTATTTTCAATCCTGCTCATGGGTGGCTGGCTGGATTCAACATAGAACTTGGCACCGAAGTCCAGCAGTTTGAGTTGCCACGTTCCAAATACCACACAAAGGTAGACAAGAAAATGAGTGAAGAGAATCAATAGAGTTTTGACACGTATAAGAGCAAAACAGAATGTGTAATGGTAAAAAGGAACATGAAAGATTACAGAGACTGCATACATCTGCGTAAGCCATTGACAACGATTTTGAGCCATGTCACCTATTGTCTCCAGCCAGTGATTGATTCTTAGAGTCCCGAGGGCGGGCCCCAACCCGGAAGTCTGCATCTCCCTACCTGACTCAGTTTAACTGTCAAGGATTTCATGGATTGATGAGGCCATGTTTTCGTTTGGCCACCACTTACTCTTTTCCAACCTGCACCAATATCAGCTAGTAATGCTCGTCCGTCGGGGGAGGCGATGGTTACGCATGCGCAGCACGTGACCTAGCCATCTCAATCTATGTAACTTCATAGCCTCTTCGATTGATTTTCCCTCTTTGCTCAACACTCTACGCCTAACGTCAACATAATTTACCTAATTATACCACCTAACGTGAGAAAGAGATCGCAGGCATCAATGATCAAAAACAGTCATGTCTTCAACTCGTATTGGCCATGTTTCCGAGCCATAGAGAAGGACGGAGCGAAGTGATGAGCAGTATACACGTCCCTTGTTTGATAGCCGGATGTCATGCCTACGCCAGAGATGGTGTAAGTTAGCGAAAGAAGCTCGAGGAGTTTGTATCCGTGCTGAGATTTCGTCACCAATCAATCCGTTGGTGCTGATACAACTTCCCAAATAGGTGAAGTGGTCAACATGTCCTATTACTTCACTCCCTATCACTAAGCTAGGAGTTGACGTAGTCCAGTCCTGTAGCAGCATCTTACACTTTACAGGGTTTAATCGCATGCCAAACATACGAAGATTGCTGCTCAAGGTGTTCAGAAGACTCTGCATTTTGTCAGCATCCTCCCCTAACAGGACTATGTCGTCTGCATATTCTTAGTCCATAAGACTATTATTCCCTTGCTGTCCTGTGTGTCTATAAGGTGTTTGGTAACCGACGAGCCTTCAATCGTAGGCTCTTTAGTACATAAATAACTCTGTGTTCGTGTCTGAATGAAACCAAAATCACTCCGAGTAATTGAGTAGTGAGTCACGGTTGGGATGAAACGCATACTACATTATTCAGTCGCTTTCTACTACCAATCACGTAACATTATTGAAATCTATGAATTGATTTTCTACAATTAATTCCACTTTATATTCACCCTAATAATAATTTCTCTCACATCATTTTCTTTTTTACATAACCTGTGTATCATATATATACATATAAATTAGCATTGGTACGAAAGGAAACTGAGAAAGTTCATGAATTTACAAGACATCCAAAATCTGTAAGCAATAACCAATATTATTTTTATTATTTCTGTTATTACTATCAGTGAGAAGTGCCATCATATTAGGCGGTAGTATCGTAAATAATGACATCAGTTGAGTATAGCATTTCACTCCATTCCCCTTCATCATGACTGTGAGATATGACCACTGAAGAGATGCTTTCATTGGACACTAGTAACTAGTGTAATGTTTCTAGTCCTTTTTATCTGGTGCAGACTGAATTCTATCAGTCAGGTTTTCAATTTAGCCATGGGGAAATTAGATGGCTTGCCATCACGGTGCACTGTGAATTGTTGTTATTAGATGGTTGGAGGCAATCGGCAAGAAACCTGGCCTGATCTAGGTTTCGTGCTAGTCGGCACTCACCAGTCAGTAAGCAAGGCGTATCTGCAAACTTGAAGGAATAACTCGTGTCCCTCCTTCTGAGATTCCAACCCGCATCACCCATTGCTGCAGTCAGAGACATTACCACTGAGCTAGCTATTCGGGGTCGCAGTTAACCTCATGTAGGAGGTTTAATATACTGACTTATAGAATTCAGTCTTCACTAGACACATTACACTGGTTACCACTAGTGTCCAGTGAAAGTATCCGATACAGTCCAACAGGAAGGAGGTCAATCGCGAACCAGAATAGCTCACTGGTAACGTCTTTGACTGCAGCACTGGGTGACGCAGGATCGAATCTCAGAATGAGGGACATGAGTTATTCCTTCAAGTTTGCAGATACGCTTTGCTGAAGAGTACCAATTAGCACGAAAACTAGGTCCAAGCCTTCCTGTGGCCGATCTCCTCCAACCATCTAACGATGACTGAAGAGGCTAGTTATCTTTGACCATAAGGACCCACGTTCTATCTTTTGTATTAAGTGGTTATATGATATGATATATGACAATATATCAGATGAGGTTGACGTAGTGAGGTTACGTAGACTGAGATTACATATGCCGAACCACTACCTTCCCATTTTTTCTCAATTCATTAGATTTAATTTTGTTTCCTCATCTGTTGAAAATTACATTCTTCTTCAACAGATTGATCTCATTCATATTGCACACATACTATCTGCCACGCACACACACTGATAAGTACTCATTTATTTCTTAGCGTTAACTCATATATACAGAATCCGTTTTACCAGAAGTTGCCTTCATTATTAATACAGAGAGTCAAATGTTTATTTGCGGTCGTTGGAACGGAAATTCACACGCACAAGTAAAAGTAACGAACAAAGTAGAAAGGTGCTCAGGTGATACTGTCGGTATTTGAGGTCACTGTGAAATGGTAGATGATGAAAGACTTGCTAATAAGATTGTAATTTAATAATTCCCATTGTAGAATTAAGAACACAATATTCAGCGAAGAGACTCTTTTCAACAAAGAATTTATTATCAAGCTGTACAATCGTATATATATAGTTTTTTTATAAAAATTATATCCGGTAAGGGAATAAGGTCAAAGGTGTGAATACATGAAATATTAATAGTAGTAGTAGTATGAAATGCAATTAAAATATTTGTAATTATATGATTGTTTTGCTAGGAACCGGTATCTCTATATTCCCTGATTATGTATGCCTTAGCTTCAACGCTCCATTTGCACACATCTTTAATAATAATAATAATCACTTTATTCCACAACAATAACAATTTACAGCATGGAATTTTCAGCGTTTCTTTTACATATTGCAATGGTTTAGCTCTGTTTATAATTATATAAATGTATAAAATGTTAAAATATTGATAGTTAATAGGAAAAAAATAAAAACCCCAACAAAATCACACCATTGCTAGGTCATAGTGAATAATAAATAAATAATATAACAAATCACACATGCAATAATATGCATCATTTCATTTTATAGTTTAGTTAATGATTTAAAAGTTGTAAAATTTCTTTTCTGATATTTTTCTCTTCACACAATACTCGTGCCAAATATGGTACGGTCGAATTTTTATATTTTGTAGTACGAGCATAAATGTTTATGAAATTTCTACTGGTCTTACCCGAAGAGATGCAAGGAAACAATTGTGAATAAAGAGGATGTTCACTATCAGACAAGATAACTTTAGCTAAGTATTTACAAGAATTCATTTGCCTATTGACAACAGTGTCGTGTTGTGGCACTTCTGGACTTCATATTGTGCTTCTTTGTGTTCCTTTCACGTCTTCCATGTATCTCCATAAAGCTGTACCATTTTTATTCTCTGACACCAAATGTATCTGCTTGCTATTTGATGTTTTTATGCCGATGAACGTCTCTTCATATATTACTGGTAAATCTTATCAGTATCACTTGCCACAGGTAAATGTCGACAATGATGATCATTTAGTAGAATTGTCAACAGAAGTAATTAACAAATTAGAGACTATCTGTGTAGGAATTGATATTGTTATTGGTTCAAAACAGAACAATCTCTTCCTCTGAAAGCACATATTGATTTGACTGGCAAGTATGCTGTGTTATCAGTGCATGCAAATGGCTGTACAAAATATACAATAGACATACGCATGTATCTCAATTTAGTATTGAAGATATTGACGGTGTCTACCTAGATGTATCCTGACATATATACAAAATTGTGAGAAGTAATATTTCTGACTCTCAGTAAAGGTTAGAAAAATCAATAACTTCTCCTGGAATAATAAGATATGCCATAAAAGATATTTCTCATATCTGCAAGTATGAATACCACCAGAAATCCTTTAGGTAGGTGTTGAGGTGAGATAGTACAACATCAGGAGACAATACATGGAAGCCGAGGCATATTTCCAAGGTATCAAACAGCTATTTATATCTATCTATACAGTTTATATTCTCTAACCAATCACTGAGTCCGTGATTTTGGTTTACATTAATCGACATGATGCACAATGTTCAAATACATATATAGCATTCTGTTGGTAATGTAGTGTTGAAGTGTGGGAATAGTATTTAGACTTTAACACCAACAAATACAATGACTCTCATTGTGAGAATAATATTCCATTGGAACGCATTGTCTGTATCACACTACCACAATATATAACTGATAACAACACGGCCTAGAAGGGCTGTGGACAGTACCAACTTCATGTTCTAAAACAGAACTACTCTAATGCCTAACCACAACATCAATTATAACAACAATAATATCATAGTTCAAAAGAACTGTCGTCAAGATTTGACAGAATGGTTCTAAAATATTTGGGCGCCGAGTGAGAAGTAGACATTTGTAAAAAATTATATTTGTAAAGTCTCAGCGATATTGAAATGAGTAATTCCAACGTTTCGTTCGGCAATCTGGTCCGAACTTCTTCAGGGAAATTAATCAAAATTAACATAACGGAGGTTTTATATATAAAAGGAACATTAATTGTTATTAAAAACTTTGTCCAATCATGATTCATAAAACAAGTATCAACAAGTATAATAAACAAAATTGTATGAGCTGTGATCAAAATTTGACCTCGGACTTACAAATATTGGTCTACCTTTGTTAAACACTTTAAACAGAGTGTGTATGTGTGTGTGTGGGGGGGGTAAACAGTTGTAAAACATATCTTAACATCTCCGTAAGAAGATATGGACAGTCGAGAATTTTGACCAAGTATTAATAATTAGTGATACATATCCATTTTTTATTTATTAATCAGGATTTCCTATGCATCAGTTAACATCACGCCTTCATGTCCGTTCAAACTGCTAGTATCTAGAATTTTATGATTAGACGTATTTTCAAAATTATGGTGTTTAGGACTAGAGTTTAGTAGAAGCACCCTGTCGAACTTATTGCATTGTTTAAAACAAGAGTTGTTCCTTCTATATATAAACCTCTGTTATGTTAATTTTGATTAATTTCCCTGAAGAAGTTCGGACCAGATTGCCGAACGAAACGTTGGAATTACTTATTTCAATATCGCTGAGATTTTACAAATATAATTTTCTACAAATAATATCATAGGCTGGCGTGTGCAAAGATGACAGAAGATAAATATGTGACAAGATTCAATTTAGTAATCGTAACTAGTAGAAGCTAGAATGAGAGAATGCAATGGTGGTGTTCAGATATATCGTCAAATAGTAGATTGTCTTTGGAAAGTATTCAGATTAGTAAAACTTTCACCGATAATGGCTAGTCACTGGTTCACTTAAGAATAATAATAATAATCATTTAATTCCAAAAAGCAATAACACATTGTACAAAATGGAATTTTCAGCGTTTTTTCATACATGTTGCAACCATTCAGCTCCTTTTATAAATATGTACATAATGAAAACGCCACTATAAACAGAATGATCGTGGAAACAATAATGAAGTATAAATGGATAGTATCATAGATAATACATGTAATAATAATAATAATCTTTGCTTATGCTTTGCAGTTCAGATTACTGATTGATTTTAAAATGTTTATAAGTTTTTTTTCTGACATCTAACTCTCTCTTCACACAAAACCCCTTGAATTTTTATATTTAATAGCTATACGAGCGTAAATTCTTATAAGGTTTCTTCTGGCTTCACACCCCCTGCCCAAGAGATACAAGAGAAAAGTTGTGAATAAGTAGGGTGGATGTTCGGTAACAGACAAGATAACTTTAGCCAACTGCTCAGAAGAATTGAAGTGCCTATCGACAAGATCAATGTCAGTTAGCTGAGTCAAGGGAATACACGCCACTAACCCTACCTATTTACAGCCTTCAGTGTTCCACGTAATATGAGATAGTCTTTTTTGAGAAGTCTAGGGAAGAATAATTGGGGCGAACAATAAAAAAGAATGGACAGATATAAAAATTGGGCACTGTGATGGTAGAGTATAACTTCATTATGGATGAGATCTATTCTGATAAATCACACAGTGTTGTACAGTAATATTTACTTGATATGATTATGAGTGGCAATAGTTTGCGGTCGAAACGTCATCAGTAAATATTATTGTACAACATTGTGTGATTTATCAAAATAAAATCTTATCCATAATGAAGAATGGAGAGAATACATCAAGTAACTAATTGTAAGTGCGTCGCAGGCACAGCGGTTAAGACTCTCGCCGACCATGCAAATAGTCCGGGGTTGGATCCACTGCTGACGCACACCTGATATCAATGGTCGGCCTGCAAATTTGGGCTACCGATATCACATGCTGAAAATGCCATACTTGTACCAAAAATAAAGGTGTGGAATCAAGCTATAATCAAAAAAAGAGAAGAGGTTGAACTGAGTTATGCCATCATAAAGTCTCAACTTTTTTATATAATAAGTCAAGCGAAAAAGTTTCTTAGAAATCAACACGATATGAGATGACTAACAGAGATTCGAAGAGAAACTGATGCTGCCGAGAGAATAAGAGATATTCAATGTACTCCATATCACAGTGCTGTCAATATTATACTGGAATCATGAGACTGAATCAGCCCATGCATGTCTTTTTAGCATCTGAAACCAAGGTCGACAATATGACATTTAGATGGATTCAGTTTAAGACTATTTAGGTGAGACCACTTGTTAACTTCGGACAAGAAGCTATTCATATAAGAGTAATCGAATGCTGACAAACTGCTGGGACAGAAATGGTAAGATTGTGGGCATATTTAATGCAGTTAGCTTTGAAGGAATATGGTAGGTCATACGAAAAGAAGGAAAAAAAGGAATGGAGAGAGTACAGACCATCTTGAGGCACACCCTTTTCCGCGTTAGCAAAACAGTGGAGCGCTTTCCATTCAAAACAGTATGTTGTTGTTTTCTACCCGAGAAATAATTAGACAGCCAGCCAGCCAGCCAGGACTCAGTGTTTGCTGAAATCAGCTTGCTTATAATCAGTGGTAGTTGGCTTCCAGTCACATCAATCAGTAGTAAAACTGGTCTAAACACTGGAGGACCACGTTTCGTAAATTGTGAATTGAATTATATATTTTTTTTAATGAACTAATAATCCAACCCAATATTCTTTTCTTCTTGTGCTTATTTCAGAGTAATACAGTTGCATTTGTATACAATTTAACAAAAATTTATTTAACCGGTGCATTGTCATACGTTCGTCGACTTCTTCTCCTGTTTAATTCAAAAAATAGACCTATCCAACATGCTAAAGTAGCTATTGAAGGCGTTTCATTTATGGTAATTTCATACAGACACGTCTGAGTTATTATAATTATTATTGTTAATTATTTCTTTTTCTTATCCTAAAGAATTAGCTATCATATGGTTTATGAAGATAATTTTATGTGAATATCCTTCAGATTTTGAGTCTGCAGGTGGTAATTTTGATTCATTTCCAATTTCATTACGAAGAATCGAAGTCAATTAGTGAATCTGTAAAGTACTTGACAGTTGTTTCGTCCTAGTTTAGGAGTCTTCATCAGTTCTCAGGCATGACTCCACTAAGGATGAAACCCAGGACGCCAAGGTTACGAGCTGAGCAGTGTTACTGTTATTATTATTATTCACTTGGGTTCCGAGTGGAATATAGGGCTTCAACAACACATCTCAACTTTGCTCTATTTTCTGTCGTCTTCTTCATCTGTGTCCATGATCGCCCATAATTTCTCATCTCCTCCTTCCCCACACACGATCTCCTCCATGACACCCTCGCATTGAAGACTCACTCGTTGCTTCCTATTGCGATTCCAATTGAGTGATAGCCTGGATTGCGCGCGATGTCATTCGGCGGCCTCCTAAATGGCGTATGCTTGATTAATCTATCGCCATTTTCCCCTACATATCTACTTGTTGAGCATTCGGCTCTTGGTTGTTTCATTACACTGATGAGTTTCTTGTTGCTAATTCTTTCTGGCTGGCCATTTGATCTTCGGTATGGAACAAAGGCAGCTGTTGATGAAAGTTTGTAACTTGTTGAAAATCCTTTTTGCGAGACGCAGCGCACGTTTTTGACACGTATAGGAGAACTGACTGACTTAACATTTGTGTTGAAAATCCCAATCGTGTTGTTTATGTTGCAGAGTGTAGCGTAGAAGATTTCCAAACTGGTTGTAGATTGATGAAGGCATATCTTGCCTTTCTGATTCTGGCCGGCTGGATTTGACATCTTCATCCGTTCCGTCTACCTGTAGTTGAAACGATGCTTCTTAGATAAACGAAGGAGGTAACCTGTGTCAAATTTCTCCCGTTGATGGTGATTGATGCTGGTTATTGTTGTTGTAACAACAACACCTTCATCACCTCTGTCTTCTCTATGTTCACCTGGAGTCGTGTCTTCACTGCCGCTTTCATCTAGTGTGTTGGTTTTATCTTGTAAGTCTTCAAATTTGTGTGACATTAAACGTAAATCATCCACGAGCGAAATCCAGACCTTCGAGAGCTGAACATTATAACCCGATCATTATAAAAGTTTTTGTATTTCCCAATAAATGAAAAACAAAATGATATTGTTGTTTGTACCAGACGTTTTACTACTTAATGCTAATAGCTTTATCAAAGTATTATTAAAGGAGAATTTGCAAAATCTCATTTTATATATAATAATTTAATCATCGTTCCTCAGCATGGGGTAATGTTTTGCGTTTTCAAGTTGGCCAATTGGTAAAGATAACAAAACCAGGTGTAGATTGTTGGATTTGACCAGTGTTTAAAATTATAAAAGCAGCATGTTTTTACATAATGAAATTGCTTATTACACATTTGTGTTGATTTTGTAATTTCATGAGGGAGGTAGATGGGTGTTTCAACCATGTCAAATTCTGTTTCAGTTCACCATTCCTATTCAGACAGTTTGGATTCCATTTAATATTAAATGCTTCTGATATCAGACTATTTTGTGATTTCTAAAATTTTTCTGGATTATTTCAACTTTGTCACAATCGATTTTGTGACCTGATTCTTTAGCGTGTAGACCTATGGCTGATGATTTTTCAAGGTTTTCTAGTTCAACCGGATTTCTCGGTGGTCGAACAGATGCAAGTCTACGGTGTTTATTTCTTCTGATTTTGATTACTGTCTAGTGAGGTTTGTCCGATATATATCTCAACACATTCCAAGCGCTTTATTTTGTAGACACATTTAGATAGAGAATCCTTAGGGATTTGGTCTTTTATATGGACGAGGTTGTTTCGTAGCGTGTCTGATGTTTTAAAGAAAACTCCGATGTTGCACTTATTGGGTACTTTTTTGATGCTTTCTGGTGTTTCTGATCTATATGGAATGACAACTGTTGAGGCCCATTTCTTCGGAATACGCTTTTGACCATATTTATGTCTGTGTTGATTTTGTTGATGAAGTTCCATGGGTAGTTGTTTTGCTTGAGAGTTTCAGTAATGTTTGATATTTCTTCTTTTTTTTCTTATCCGTTATCAGAGAGTGTGCTTGTCTAAGAAGACTTGTAGTAACTGATACCTTTGAGCTGATGGAACGTGATGAACTGAAGTCTAAATATTTACTGGAGTGGGTTTTCTTCCTGAATATGGACATACTAAAATGTCCGTCTTCCCTCCTTTTAACTAGATAGTCTAGAAATGGTAGTTCACCAAAGTCTGATTCTGCTTCCGAAGTAAACTGGATGCTGGAAGATAGATTGTTGAGTTTCTCCAAGAATGAATTATGTGGATCTCCTCTTAGCCCAACAAAAGTATCACCAACGTATCTCAGCCATATTTTAGAAGTGAGTATACGTGAAAAGATGTTATCTTCAAATCTATTCGGCGACTATTGGGGAAACTGGTGAACTCAAAGCAACGCCATTAGTCTGTCTAAATAAATTCCGTTTAAATGTAAAATAATTACCTTCCAGACAGAATTTTAAGCTGTAAATTATTTCACTGGTGTCTAGTGGACATCTCTGTGTTAAGGTTGTGTCTGATTCCAGTAAACTCAAAATTATATCATAACTTTTGGTAATGGGAATACTAGTATATGATGATTTAATATCATAGCTTACCATAGTATCTTCCTGATCAATTTCTCGGTGTTCCGCTTTTGATTTGAAATCTCTGATGCTTCTTCTGCCGCCAACTTGTTGCTTTTCACTTGCACATCTTCCAGTTTGTAGGAAATCAGACATTCATCACATCAGTGAAGTCCAGATCGTCCAAATTGTTTTTGCGTGGGTCCATTTTATGCCTGTCTCCTCATTGCCCGCCGCCGTCTGTCTGTTGCATTATCCAGTCTACCACCTGCAATCAGGAAAATCATTGGAGATAGTAGGCAGCCAGCCAGCCTTCCTTGTCTTACTCCCATCTTCACTTCTTCGAAGGATTCTGTGAGTTTCCCGTTGTGGATTATTTGGCACGCAGCATTGTCGTACAATTGTTGGATGAGGCGTATAATTGTTGGCGGCATCAGATAAAAAGAACTGCAGAGAACAAGTTGGAATTGAGATGTACTATCGAGGTTCCATGTTCCACTCGGAATTTAATGTGACAATAAAAGTAATAATAATAATTTAAAGGATATCAAATAGAGTTTTACTGTTAGGGAATTATACTCATATAAACTCTTTCACTAATCTGTATATTAAACCTTAATTATGTATTATTATTATTCAGGTTGGACATGGTGAAATGTTTGGTATACTCGGTCCAAGTGGTGCTGGAAAATCCACCTTACTCGAATGTCTATCAAGTATAATAAATCAAACATTCGGTGAAGTAAGCTGTTCATTTTTACTCTAGAATTTGATATTTTATCTATCCTTAAGGGTGATATTTCTTCTTCTTCATGACCATTGAAAGTGGAAGACATGAAAAGCCTGCCTGGCTAGCTAGCTGAGCTGTCTTCGATCACACAGGTGTCTGCATTCTATCTACATCCTGTGTTAAGTGGTATAATAAAGTGAGAAATATTGAGGTGAGGTATCGGTCGAGTGCTACTGGGTAAGGAGGGGAAATCAACCGACGAGGTTGTGAAATTATACAAATGCCTAGGGATCGCCTTCCTCGACGACGGTCTATGTTACCTGACATAGGATCAGGTTGTTGAGAAAGAGCTAGCACATGGCGGTATCAGCCAATGAAATCTTTAACAGTTAGTTTAAGCCATATAAGGAGGTGTAAAATTCTTGACTGCCTGGTTGGGGTCCTCGAGATAGTAAGAACCAATGATGGCTGGAGACAATTTTCGGTGATAAGACTCAAAATCGTTCTCAGTGACTAGGGCAGCTGCATCCACTTTTCGCGATTTATAATATCCAATAAAACTCTATTGTTCTTCCATGTTACTATTCTTTTTGCCTTATATTTCTGTTTATTATCTCTGTGTCTTTTGAATCTCTCTTTTCTCTCCTCTTTTGCTTTTTGTGCTACATGGAGGGAGAGTGGCAACTCGAACTGGTGCACATCTGTGCAAAGTTCTATCTACGTTGAAACCAGTCAATCAGTCAATCAGTCAGTCAGTATTTCTTCCTAATTGTTATTCTGATTTTGATGTTAGTTGGCTGAAGGGAAAAAGCAGGTGATCCTGAATCTAAATTTTATCCCTACTGGCACTCTTCAACAGGGCATGTTTGTAACCTTGACAGAATCCGTCTCCTTCATTGGCTGGTGCCAGTCGTACTATGTCGTGAATTGGTAGAAGTTGAAATTTATGAGCCATTTAGTTAGACCCTATGTGACTGAATGTTCTACGAGATTTCCTTGTAACCGGAAGGTCCTGGATTCAAACCCTGTCGATGAGTCTTTAACTAGAAACGTGGTAGCTATCCAGCACTCCCTGTTGGTTTTCAGCGGTTTACCAATGATCAAAATCTTGAAATATTTAAAAATTGAACGAAATATTCCCTCGTATATTCAATCATAAGAAAAAGAAGACGTAAACAGCGAAGAAAATTTTCTTTTCGACGACTCATTTTCATAAGATGCTGTAAAATAATTGCAGTTATTAGATGGTTGGAGGTAACTGGCAGGAAGTCTTGGACCTAGGTTTCGAGCTAGTTGGCACTCATCAGCGAGGCGTATCTGCAACCTTGAAGGAACAGCTCATGTCCCTTCTGAGATTCGAACCTGCGTCACCCAGTGCTGCAGTCAGAGACGTCACCACTGAGCTGTTCGGGCTCGCGATTGACCTCCTGTGGGACTGTATTGGATATTGTCATTGATCATATATATCATATCTATTCGACTGTATTGGATATTTTTGATTGAATACTAGTCAGTAACTAGTGTAACGTGTGTGCGTGCAAACATGACTGATAGAATTCAGTCTGCACCGAAGATAGGACTAGACACATTACACTAGTTACTGACTAGTGTGCAATCAAAAATTGCAGTTATATTTAACAAAGAAATCTTTAGACCAATCCGATACTGGTAGACTTTATCCTTAGAATACGTATTACGTAATGTAAGCCAGTGCGTCGGTGGCATAGCGGTTAGGACGCTCGCCGACCATGCACATGGTCCAGGGTTCGATCCCCGGCCGACGCACTCCTTTACCTCGCTAAGCCAGAAAAAATGCCGGTGAAGAGGAAAGGTTGGGCATGAGGTTAGCAACCCCATCCTGTAAAATAAACACTGCCACAGAAACTTCAAGCCACTAGCTTGAAGCCCTATGTTCCACTGGGGAACGTGAAGGAAAAGAAAATGTAAGCTGTAACCTAGAAAAGGTAACTAATTGTAAGTTAAAAAGGAGTCAGAAGTTATCATGACATAATAAGTGTGAGATAACCGCCAATCAACAAGCTCGTGTAGAATGGACAGGAACAAGTGGAAAGGCGATGGTGTTTTTATATAAAATCTGTATGAAAACGCAATGTTATTAATAAACGGTAACAGAGTGATAATAAAATATGGATGATGGGAATAATAATGATAATGAACTAATAATAATAAACTTACATAATAAAAAGAAGTAAAATTATAATAAGAACGTTATTCTGGCCACGGTAGGGCGAGTGAATGTATGCAGTGCTTTTGAATGCAGAGGTCCGGTTTCAGATCCCGAATAGCCAATGATTCAGCTATGTACAGATGGTGTATGCGAAGTTCCTTCGTACAATATTGAGACACTCTGTGTAACACTGTGAAGCATTCACGCAGGTGGTGCGGGTGGATCGCTCGATATCCAAAGTTGTTGACAAGGTGTTCGAGGATGAAGTTACTACTATTCTTCTCTCTTCTGGCTAGCTAACCAAGTTGGAAAATGTTCCAGAATACATTTGTGGACTTAACGTTGCGCACGGCAGATATACCTTGATTTTTTTCTCCTTGCCTTATTTTTTCAATTTCTATAGGTTGGTGTAATTAATCCAAAGATTGGTAAACTTGTACCGAATTCAGTTGCTGTTAAAAATGGTCTAATCGGTTTCTGTCCACAGTATAATCCAATTTGGCCACAATTAACAGTTAGAGAACATTTTGTCATTTATTCTGTTATGCGTAATGTTAATAAACGTATATTAAAACAACATGTCAACTCGTAAGTGGCGCTTTATATTCCTTCTGTCTTTTTTGTGCTCTATTTCCCTTTTGTGCTTCATAAAAATTCAGTTTGTTAAAGTATTTTTGTAACAGAAAGACAATTAGTGTTGTGTGACCGCACAGCCCAGGGTACAACTTTTTGAGGCCAGTCACACACAGCCTATTTGAAGTACTGTGTAGAATTATGTTCGTATTGGTAAATTACTACGGCTACGGACCGCCGTAGGGTAAGTCGGGATGTACAGTCTTGGGGGTCAAGTTTTTCTGACCTCACTCCTTTCCAAAGTGGACAGGAAGCATATTTGGCATGCTGGTTATCTGAGCGAAAAGTTACCTTACTGCTGTTACATTTCTGCTCCCCAGCAATACACTTTTGCCCCCATATCCTTATTACTATTATTACCTTGGGTTCCGAGTGGAACATAGGGCTTCAACAACAAATCTCTACTTTGTTATGTTCTCTACCGTCCTCTTCAGCTGGGTCGATGATTGACCAAACTCCCTCATCTCCTCCTCCCACACACGATCTCCTCCATGTCACCCTCTCACTGACGACCCACTCGTCGCTTCCCATTGGGATTCTACTCGAGCAATGGCCTGCATTGCGTGTAATGTCATTCGGCGGTCTCCTCGATGTATGCCCGATCAATCTCCATTTTCTCCTACATATTTTTTGAGCACTCGGCTCACGTCTGTTGGTTTGTTCCACTGAAGAGTTTCTGGCCGGACATTCGATCTTCAGTATGGAGGCAGTGGAGTGGGGTAGCTGTTGATGAGTCTGCAGTATCCTGATGGAAATCCTTTCCGTTACACGCCAAGTTTCCCTCAGATCCTTAGCTTAGTTTAAACATCTTACAATATGCCAGTAACAGTTTTTAGTTTAACCGCTATCCTAACAACATTTTTAGCATGGTAGGACCTGCAGGAACATTAGTTCCAGTCAGAATAGCCCAATTGGGTCATTTTCATATGCAAGGCCGACCACCCCCAAGTCAAGTTAGCAGGTGTCAGTCAACCGTAACAAGAAATGAGCAATTTAACCATACTTGAATACTAGGAGTTAAAGTATTTCCCTAGAAGTAATTGAATTGAAGATGCAAACGACGATCTGAATCTTAGATTGGGACTCGAACTAATGGGCCTCCAAACTACTAGTGTGACACTCTCTCTACACCAGCTGACCTACGAAATGAGAATCAATGATACATTATTATTATTTTCCTTTGGATTCCTAATGGATTATATGGCTTCAAAAGCACATTTATATTTCATCCTATTGTCTGTGGTTATTTTTAGCCGGTGCCGCGATTACCCATAAGCTTTCACCTCCTCCTCTTGTATGGTCTTCACCATGTCACCTTGCGACTCAAACCCAACTCATCGTTTTGTGGTGAGAGCTGGCTGCCAACAAGCCAAAATTGTAGACAACAATTTACGTCAATGTTTACGTCTCGAATCGGGGTCATGAGAAAAAAGCGAGAACAAAGCCTAACCTTGAGGAACTCAACAACCAATCACAGCAAACTTTGCATGTGCAAATACGATTCGCAGATACATGGATAACTATGTAAGCAACGGTCATAACCGGTACAGAGTAACCTTCAGCAAGAAAACAACCAGTCAGAAGACGTTGCTTCTCCGCTAAAATAACGAATAATAATGTACATAAAAATCTACAAATATCTATTGATTTGCTCAATAAACGATCTGTTGCTTGAATCTTGCATTCTGTCATTACAGTTGCACCAACCAACAAACAAACTACTGCCCTAAAAATATACTTAAGAAAATCGAAGAAACCGTTGAGTAACATCACACGCAATGCAAGCCGTCGAGTGGAACTCGAATGTGAGACGACTAATATGACATTAGAAAGTGACGAGGAGATGAAAGCACATGTGCAGTCATGGAGCCAGTTACAAAAGGCAGCAGAGAATAGAGCAAAATGAAAATGTGCTATTGAAGCCCTGTGTTCCACTGGGAACCCAAGGGAATGATGGTGTAATGATTCTTTTCAGGACAAGAGTTTCTTGACACTTCTTGAATAATGTTTGAATCTGCAGCTGTGATACCCTGGAAGAAGAGCTACACTTCCTGGAGAAAATCTTGATACAAAACGGTTATCCAACAAGATTCATAGACGAAAACATCAAACAGAAAATCCAAAAGCAAGAGACGCCATCCATGCCAAAAAAGATACTTTAAATGAACCTCGACTTCAAAGGTGACCTACTCAGTAATGTCCTTAGGAGGAGAATTTCCACTTCTTTAAGAAGAACTTTGTTTGCGGCAACATTGACAGTAGTAGTGTTCTACAGTCGCCCGCTGATCTACAAAAGCCCAAAGGACAAGATCCCGCACCTGACCACTTCTATGTGTGTATATCAGTTCACCTGTTGCTGTGGAGCCATGTACATCGGTCGTTCGACGCACATCCTGTCAAAAAGGGTCAAAGAACACTATCCAGAGTGGCTGCTGAGAGGAAGTAGTGGCTGTATAAGGCGTGCAATAATCGAACATCTCGTCACCCACCACCGGTCATTCCATCTCAACAAACGCCTCCTGCTTCAAAGTAATCTACAAATTGAGGAACAACCTGCCAAAGACAATACGTTTCCGTTTTCTTTGCATTGCAGAAGCCCTAGCCATTCAATTAGAAGAACCAGAACTATGCACACAAAAGAAAATTATTCAACCACTTCTACTATCATGGTAACGACCTTGTTGATTTGACTTAACTTTTGCTTGTATGCTTATTTTTTCTAACTACTTAGAACTCTTGCTTAATTCCGCATGTTATTTTGTTTTCATGTGCACCCTGAGCACAATTCTTTCATCAAACTATTCATGTTATATTACGTAACTCTTCTTTAACAATCGTTTGTGACAATTCATCACTTTTGTTACTATCCTCATATATCAACATCCAATTCATCTGAATACTTACTAATTGTATTTTCGTTTGACAAATTTCATGTACAAACACTCATACAAAACAACCATGCATATATTTGCGATTGTACAGGTATGAAAATGAATTCGCCGCCGAAAAGAGACTCTTCTCTGAACTACTGTTCTTCTGTTTATTATATCATTCAGTTAGTAGTATCTATATATATTTACACCATCATGAATTGTCGCTTGCTTTCTTGATTGGTACTCATAGTATCAAGCAGATCACAGATTTTGTGATCTGAATAATTTCGGTTCCCATAGATGGTGATTGTGGTAAAAATTTCACCTCGAACTGTTTTTTGACTTGGAAATCGTGGGTCAAATTCGAAGTCTATACAGTCCTGAAAAAAAGGGTTAGCTATATTTGTTCTTATTACACTTGAACCCTAGATTTATTTATTTCAATGACGGAAACCCTGAGGGGGGAGGGAAGTGGTGAATTTCTCCGAAGTGTAAGAGAAGCTGTCAGCTGATAACAGTAATCTCAAATTGTTATCTAAATGAATTAGTTTGAACATCTGCTCCCAATAGGATTGAAAAAAATATGAGGAGAAAAGTTAAAGAATATTGATCCAAATTCACTCACTGCTTGTAATAATAATGAGTAAGACAAGGCTGCCTACTATCTCCAGTGATTTTCCTGATTGTGGTCGGTAGACTGTAGAATGCGACAGACAGTGGCGAGCAGTGAGGAAACAGGCATAAAATGAACCCACACAAAAACAGTTTGGACGATCTGGACTTCGCCGATGTGATATGTGTCTGACTTCCTACAAACTGGAAGATATGCAAGTGAAAGGCAACAAGTTGGCAATAGAAGAAGCATCAAAGATAGAAAGGACTTCAGGTGAACATGGACAAAACAGAGGTAGGTGATGAAGATTCCTGGCCAACAGCAACAGCTACAGCAACAACAACAGACAACAATCAGCATAAATGGGAGGAACCTGAAAGAAACAACCTCCTTTACCTACCTCGGAAACATCGTTTCAACTACAGGCGAACGGAACTGATGAGGATGTCAAAGCGAGGGTCATCGTGAAAGCAAGGCAAGCTTCCACTACCCTCAAGTCTGTGTGGAAATCAACAGCACTCATCATGAAAAATAAGATCCGGATTTTCAACTCCAATGTGAAGTCAGTCAGTACTATACTAATAATGTTCTTACACAGTGTGGACAGTTCGACTACCTACATAAGCTTGGTATTTTGCTTAGAGTTGTACACTGACAGAAGAGTTAAGAATCTAGTTACGTCTAGTTATGACTATTGCTATTGTCAGTGCACCGAAAAATTGGTTCGTTTACCTCATTTAGACTCTTTTCAACGTAGATTATTGTTTCTTTATGCATTAATGAAGAAGGATATGTTTTGATTATGTAATCTTTTTATTATTTTCTTTTTCTACTTGTTTATGTATTTGTCAGCATCTTGATGTTAGTTGGTCTAGTTAAATACAGTAATACTATTTCAGGATCACTATCTGGAGGATGCAAACGTCGGGTAAGAAGCATTTGGATGTAGTATTTATGTGTGTGTGTTTATGTTAGTCGTCAGCTATTTAAATTTGTCACTTTAAAATCAAAAATAATGCATACAGGCCAAATTCAACTTTAAGCACCACCAACTACTAGTGGTGTGCAACCGCACCAATGACCTTGAAACGCTCACTGAACAAGTTAGTGAAACCTGGCGCAGAATGTTGTCGTCATCAATAAAATATGCTCATGGAAGTGTTATGTTATTAAATGGGATATCTAGCAAGTTCCAGGTTAGGTTTGGGAAAGATTAAGTTACGCTTTAAGCTAAGGATAAGTTAGGGTTAGGTTAACCTAATAAAGGTGACATTAAGGTTGGTTCGAGTTAGTTTAGGGATATTTTCACGTTAGAGTTAGGTTCAGGAAAGATCAGGGTTATTGTTAGGGTTAGAAGACCCAAATAATTACATGCATAGAATGTGGTTAAATTAATCTGTTGATATAAGAATAGCACTGGTGCACTGTGGTGGCAGAGTATAATTCCATTGTGGGTAAAATTTATTTTGATAAAGTCTCACAGTGGTGTTATACGGTATTATATACTGATGACGTTTCGAGCACAATTTATTGCCCAGGAAATATTACTGTTTAACACTATGAGATTTTATCAAAATAAATTTTACCAACAGTGGAATTATACCCTGCTGACACTCCAACCTAAAATTTAAAGCTATTTCTATCACATCTGAGAGCAAGGTATCCTCTGTAACACTTTTCTACAGTTTTGTGCATTATTTTATAAATATATGTATTCCATACACAAAAATGCCTCCTTCACATAATTGGTGCCTTCGAGGTCATTTGCTGATTGGTAGTTAGTGGTGCTTAAAGTTTAACTTTGCCTACATACATGATAAATGCTTCAATTCCATTTGGCCTCTTAAATATATTAGGTAATGATAATCAGGAAATTAGAGGCAAGACAAAGAAAAATGTCTTTTTGATGACTTTTTTTCTCTCAATGGCTATAGGATCTCAATTTTAATTGATGGATGGTGACTAGCAGTGGAATCCAGGATGTGCATTTCGTCCTAGTTGAGACTCGTCAGCCAGTGGATGTATCTGCATTCGACGAGAAAATCTAAAATTCAATTAAATAATTAATATGAACCGTTGCACAACAGGTGGCTCTCGTGGTCCAGGTGGTCTAGTGGAGAACACTTTGGCGTTTGAAACTGTGGGCACTGAATTCGAGCCTCTGTGGGAACATCATCACTCACTGCGGAATGCAGGTACATGCAGATGACGAGTCCCAAATAGGACGAAATGCTCATCCCAGTGGATTCCACTGCTAGTCACCATCCACCAATTAAATTCTAATTACATGCCCAGACATCGTCGAAGCATCTGCAAAAGAAGCCGACATGTCAACCTGAGACCGAGCACTTCGGTCCAATCAGTCGACGGATCTCAATTTTGTTTAAATATTTTTATTTCACAAGCCAAGTGTAGTTAAGTGAAATTTACAAGAGAAGAAGAATTAGACAACATTGTTTGCATTCTTAGATGTTTTAATCCAGAGAAATAACAGAGGAGATTTAGAAACACAATTATATGGAAAATCGACACATACACACACCAACATACTCTCAACCAAAATAGCAATAACCCAATGAATCACAAAAGAAACTATGTGCTGACATTGTTTAAAAAGGTGTTCAAACACACTGTAGCACTACTCTGATGTTGAAGAGAATGGAAGAGAAATACCTACTAACTGTCTTCAAAAAGAATGTAAAACCGTGAAAAGTTTCATCGAAAAATCTTTCAAACTGAAATCGAAATACCAAGAAAGAACCATTTTCAAAAACCACAAGGAAATTAATTCTACTGTGTGAATATATAAAGAATATCTCTGAAATAACGGCAACTACTTCGCTACTACGGGGTGCCGCCAACAATTATACGCCTCATCCAACAGTTGTACGATAATGCTGCGTGCCAAGTAATCCATAACGGAAGTCTCACAGAATCCTTCGAAGAAGTGAAGACGGGAGTAAGACAAGGAACGCTAGCTGGCTGCCTACTAGCTCCAATCATTTTCCTGACCGAGGGCGGTAGACTTGATAGTGCAACAGATAATGGTGGGAAACGAGGAGACAGGCATAAAATGGACCCACACAAAAACAATTGGAGGATCTGGACTTCTGGAAGATATGCAAGTGGAAAGCAACAAGTTGGCGATGGAAGAAGCATCAAAGCTAGGACTTCCTACAGGTGAACATAGAGAAAACAGAGGTGATGAAGATTCCTGGCTAACAGCAACAAAAACAGATACAACAACAGACAACAATCAGCATAAATGGGAGAAATGTGAAAAAAGGAATCTCCTTTACCTACCCACCTATTTGGGAAGCATAGTTTGAAATTCAGGCGGACGGAACTGATGAGGATATCAAAGAGAGGATCAGGAAATCAAGGTAAGCTTTCGTTACTTTCAAGTCTGTGTGGAGGTCAACAGCACTCAGCATGAAAAGTGAGATCCGGATTTTCAACTCCAATGTGAAGTCAGTCAATTCTACTTTACGGATTAGAGATTTGGTGCATCACGAAGGGCACTTCGAACAAACTACACACCTTCATCAAAAGCTGTCTTTGCTCAGTACTTTGCTCAAGATCAGATGGCCGGCCAGAAAAGATCAGCAACACGGACCTCTCGCAATGAACGAACCAACCCAGCAGGAACTGATTGTGCAACAAATATGCAGGAAGAAATGGAGGTGGATTGGTGGCCATACTCTGAGAAAACAAACTACCAAGGGACATCACACACCAGGTCATCGCTCGAGTGGAATCCGGCAGAACGGGAAGCGGCGAGTCAGTTGGTCGTCAGTGCGAGGGTGACATGAAGCCTGTGGGCAGATGTGGAGCCAGGTGAAAACGTCGGCAGAGAACCTAACGCAATGCATAGACTGAGAGAAACACTACATAGGTCAACAAAGTGGGCGTCTCCTTCCCCTTAGAATCTAAGATCACAAATTAGCTGTGGAAAGACGCGACACAGATTTCTACTTCATATCAATACATGTAGACAATTGTGGACACCACAATTTGATTGGGATAATGTCGAAATTTTAAATAGAGGGAACACCAAAGAATGCAGTCAGGGAATTCCTAGGAGCCTAGTACTCAAGTGAATCAGCCAGCGATTAACAAACACACATTACTATAGACCAAATTTATCAACTAATAAAAAATAAATCATCACATGACAAGAAAGTCCAGATTCCAATTCAATAAAAATGATCAATGTAAATCTGTAACCAATCACCCAGGACAAGGGGATGTCAGGAGATACAATTATAACATAATTCATGCAGAATTCAAATTCAAGTTCATCTCATGCTCAAAACCTTCGCTGGAGATGTTGTCTAGAAGGGAGGCGGTGACAACGGTAACTTCATAAGTAAATCAACAAGTTTCTAGTATCATTTAATGAGACACATTGAAAAAGCTGAAACTCAAAGAGGTATCAATTAGAAAGACATTGGAAGTCCAGTAAGGAGTACTGGACAGCTAGCTGTTTCGCCAGCCCAGTTTGGGACTCTTCGTCAGTACGCACCCACACTGCAGGGTTCATTCAAAGGTTCTTCCGGTTACAAGGCTAGTGAGCTCGGAGACTATTCATTAGCCACTGGAACCCGACTCGATCCAACAGCCAGCCCATGAATTATAACTTCTGCCAATTCACCATATAGCGCGACCACTTAGAAATGTCTTCTCCGATGAGTTACTGCCACACCTCCGACCTGCTGTACCCTACTGGTCACGGCTTCCCACTAGGACCTCAGGCGACTGCCCGAATAAGACCATGTTGCTTTTCGGAGCATGCGGTACTTCGGTGTTTTTGGTAATTTACTTGCTAACCGGTAGGTGATGATGGAGAAGGATTCTTCAGTACTGGCTTTGTTGCCGGTTTGGACCAGATAGTCTAATATTGAACTATTGATGGTTTTTGCTACGCCTTTACTTAGCCATACTGGGAGATGTTCTCGGGCACGAAAATTCAAGTTCCTAGAGCAACGGCCAATATAACTCGCTCCACAAGCGCAGTTGAATTAGTAAATATAATTAGAAGTGGCTAGTATAGGTACTTCATCTTCCAATTGAGGAATAACCATCTGTCGTGTAGAAGATAAGACTTGTATTTTGCCAACATTAAAAATTCTTTGAACTGATTTTCTTAACCTCTTCATAATTATTTCGCTTGGTACATAGCCCTTGAATTGTAGTCGTATGTATAAAGGCTTCTTGTTTACGGATAGTGAGTAGTCCTTTTCCGCTTTCTTTGTCATGTGTTTCTTGATAAATTTGTCGGGATAGCTATTTTCAATCAAGGTATCATATACGATGCTTAGTTCATCTTCATTTACTTCTTCTGACCATATAGGTCGAACCCTGTAGCTGAGGGTCTTTACTAAATTCCTCTTGTACTGCAGAGGAACGAAACTGTGCAAATGTGCATATTGTCCTGTCCATGTACTTTTCCTTTGCAAAATTCTTTTTATGCTACCATCTGGTTTTCTCGTAAGGAGGACATCCAGGAAAGCAATTCTACTTCGAGCTTCCTCTTCCCACGTGAATTTCATAGTAGAATGTACTTCATCGAATTGAGTTATTATTGTGTTCCTATCCGAATCGCATTACCACAAAGAATAAATGTGCCATCCATATACCGGCAATAAAATGAGAATTTTCTGATAACCTTGTTCAATGTCCATTTTCTGGTTTACTTATAAAGAAATCAGCCAAAATGGGACCTAATAGAAGATTGATCCCTAACTGAATTCTTACTTAGAGAACTCTGTGGAAACCTGGCACTACTGGACATCTGTTTCGTGCTTGCTTAGGACTCTTCAGCACAACCAACCGATGACCCAGGGGCTAAATAATCAATGACCTCGCCGTGTAACCTGAAGGTCCTGGGTTCAGTCCTTAACGGTAGATTCACGGGTGCGTACTGATGAAGAGTCCTAGACAAGGACGAACCACCTGTCCAGTATTCCTCGGTTGTCCAGTTGTTCTCCGACTGAAGTCAGTTCGTGATCACTATTGAAATCAGTCAAATCCCTGCAAACCAACACAACTATTTATTTTCTTTCATGTCTGTCTGTGTGTGTATCTGTGTATATGTTTACATTCACACACAGTTGTCAATGGGTATCAGTTTAGTCGGTGATCCAAGTTTAGTGATAATGGATGAACCATCGTGTGGTGTAGATCCACGATCTAGAAGAAGTTTATGGTATGATATGATATGAATTGTTCAAATGTTTCGTTCGTTTGTTCGTTCGTTTTCTAATCGTTATTTTTGTTGTCTTTGTCTATTGGTAATATTTGGTGATAGAATTTGTTCTTTTTGTTCATTTGTATCAATAATTTTAACAAATGACTGACTTTAAGTGCGTATGGAAGTGCATAAGCGGTTGTTACTTCTCGGCTGTCGACATCATAGAAGTTGTTTTCTTCTTCGAGCACCTGAAACAGAAGAGGTATTCGTGACTCTAGAGCCTAGGAGACAACTGCTTGAAACCGGTCACACACACATCGTTTGAAGGGGATATTCGGATTGTGTCCCTATCTCAATATCTTACCGCCCCAAGTTTGGTCGGAATGTGCAGTTTTCGGGGTCAACTCTTCCTAATCCAACCCTCTCAAGAGCGGAGAAGCAGCATACTTGGCTGCCTGATAATTTGAGAGAAACATTTTACTGCTGTTACAACCGTATTCATAAGCAGTACGATTTCGACCACAGATCCCCAACAGAATGTAAACGACATACATTGTGGCGATAACTGACCACTTCACCCATTTGGGGAGCCGTATCAGCACCAACGGACTGATTGGCGACGAAATCACAGCACGGATCCAAAAACTTCGGGCTGCTTTCGCTAACTTACACCATCTCTGGCGTAGGCGTGACATCCGACTATCAACCAAGGGACGTGTGTACTGCTCAGCAGTTCACTCCGTCCTTCTCTGTGGCTGGCTCTGAAACATGGCCAATACGAGTTGAAGGGATGAAAAGGTTGACTGTTTTTGATCATAAATGTCTACGATCTCTTTCTCACGTTAGGTGGTATAATAAGGTAAGCAATGTTGACGTTAGGCGTAGTGTTGGGCAAAGAGGGAAAATCAATCGACGAGGCTATGAAGTTACATAGATTGAGATGGCTAGGTCACGTGCTGCGCATGCGTAACCATCGCCTCCCCCGACGGACGAGCATTACTAGCTGATATTGGTGCAGGTTGGAAAAGAGTAAGTGGTGGCCAAACGAAAACATGGCCTCATCAATCCATGAAATCCTTGACAGTTAAACTGAGTCAGGTAGGGAGATGCAGACTTCCGGGTTGGGGCCCGCCCTCGGGACTCTAAGAATCAATCACTGGCTGGAGACAATAGGTGACATGGCTCAAAATCGTTGTCAATAGTGCAGATGTATTACTCATTCTGTTTCACTATTATACTTGTCAAAACTCTATTGATTCTCTTCCCTCATTTTCTTGTCTACCTTTGTGTGCTATTTGGAACGTGGTAACTCGAACTGCTGCACTTCGGTGCCAAGTTCTATGTTGAATCCAGACAGACAGATAACTGATTTTAGTTCTACTGCTATTCAAAAGACCTTTCCAGCATAGTTGAACCTCTAAGAACGTTATTTCTAAGCAGTGTAGCTCGTTAGGTTGCTTCACTTTGTAAGCCCAACTACCATGTGAAGGTAACAGCCACCCACTGCCTGAATAATCACCGTCTACCAATCTTTAGTCGATAGAAACAGTTGATATTTGAGGTGAAAAAGTCGAAAGTCAAAATGAATCTACCCTTTTCGGTAGTCATGAAGATGACACAAAAATGACAGCATATGGAAAACCCTCATAAAACTTAGTAGAAACAACAATTAAGTTCAAGAAATAAAGGACAAACTACCGCCTAATTTCACCTCTTCTCTGTGTACCTACCAGTTTGACTGTAACTGCTGGGCCAGCTACTTTGGGCATACAATTAAGCAGGTTCATCTTTACCTATCTCTGAACACCATCCTGCTTAGCAGTTAAGCAAAGGAAAAACTAAATCTGTTCGTGGTTCTGTTTTATTTTATTTTGATTATAGCTTGATTCCACACCATATTATTGGTACAAGTATGTAATTTTTAGCATGAGATATCGGTAGCCCAAATTTGGCAGGCTAACCATTGATATCAGGTGTGCGTCGTCAGGGGATCGAACCCCGGACCATATGCATGGTCGGTGACAGTCATAACCGCTGTGCCACCAACGCATACCTTGTAGACAGTAAGCTTAGAGTTGATGTTAGCACAGCGTTTAAAGTTATATATCTCACTCCCACTAATCTTAATTTTGCATTATGAGTTGTTCGTCTTCTACATACAACTGAATGAAGTCATCGGAATCCACGTGAATTAGCCAAACCAGTGTGTGTTTAGAAGAAATTCCTACAGCCCTTATTTCCTTACTTCTTAGCCATCATTAGATGAGTGTAAAAACCCGACTATTTTGCCCTCCTCCTAAACATTCTAAAAATTATAATTGTCTAAATTATTTTATTTTACTGTAATTGCCTATTATGTAATCAACTTGAACACTCTTTTATTCCTTAATTACTCTTCATTTTCTCAAAATTATTCACTATACAATCCACCTGTTGTAACTATTTCTATCCTTTAATTGTTTGTATTAATAATTAAATTTCACTTATCTTCTATAGTTTGGTTTGTAAGGGTTAGTTTTGTTTTTACGAGTCGATCGTGGATTGATATCAGTTAGAGAACCATTGAAAACCAGCCAGTACGCAGTACGCACCCACAACCAGGGTTCGAACCCAGGACCTTTCGGTTACAAGGCAAGCTCGTATACCATTCAGCCACTTGGACCCGATTCATTGGCTCATGAATTCTAACCTCTACCAATTCCTGATTTAGCGCGACCCCAACCAATGTCGTCGGTGGGACATTCATCCTCACACGTGACATCTGGATAGACCTCACTGGTCACGACTTTTCACTAGAACTCACTGCAGGAAACTCCATCCTGTAGCAAGTCACTAACGAGCATCAGATTAATTTTCTATAGTTTGGTTTGTAAGGGTTAGTTGCTGAATGGTATAAGAGCTCGCTAGCCTTGTAACCGGAAGGTCCTGGGTTCGAACCCGTGTGGTGTGGTGGGTGCATACTGCCGGTGATTCCCAAACTAGGATGAAACAGCTGTCCAGTACTCTCTGGTTTTCAATGGTTCTCTAGCTGTTATCAATCCGTGATCAACTCGTAAAACAAATCTCACTTATTGTTTATTTCTAAGAGGATGGATTTCCTGAAATCCAGATGAGTAAAAGTTGAACACTGTTCAGTTGCTTATCTTGACAATGAAGTTAAATAGGTACTCACCGACCTAACACTGAATATTACTCACACACTATCCTTCCAAGAGAATGAAACTGGAATTTTTAAAAGTTAATTGACTTAACAGCTCAAAACTGTGTATAAAAAGGTTTCAGTCGAAGCTGATGGTGGAATGCTCACCAGCCATATAGGAAGTTCAACACCGACTTCCCGTCGATACACTCTTAAACCTCGCCTAGCTGATTAACGGGAGTAGGTCCGGAAAAACAGGGAAATTTGACGGTTCATGCTAAGTAGGAGAGAAGATGGGTCAATTGGGAGAAGCCTGTATAGAAAAAGTACATTCACAGGGCAATACATACATAGCTCCTTAGTTACGTGCCCATTAAATCGAAAAGAAATGTTAAATGTCTTACGAGCAAAGCAAGAGAGATAGGTACGGATGAGCTCTTACACAAGGAATTTGAATATATTCACGATTCCTTGACGGAGATAAGCTATCCGAGTAGTTTCATAAAGAAACATATGAAAACATCGTAGAAAAAACCGAAGACTCTGACTGCACGTAAAAAACCTCTATTTATTAAGTTACAATTTAATGGTGACTTATAAAGTGAGGATTTATTCCAAAGACTTTCAAGGAGTATACAAAGAACATTTTATGCAGCACACCTATGTTTGTCATTCTCTAACCGATGAATGATTCGGACGCAAATGAAGGATAAGCTAGATAGTTTTGCCAATTCAACTGCACCTGTGGTGGCGGTTATGTTGGGCGTACGACGTAATGGACAGCGTAGCCAACGTGCTGCTGAACATCTCCCATCGTGGTGTTTTGGCAAAGGACAAACAAAAACAATCCGTAGCTCAATTTTGTCACATTTAATTGATAGTGGTCATGTAGTGAAGAAAAAGAGAGCCTTCTAAGTAATTCATCGCACCCCACCGAATCTTTCCAATAGAATTCGTATTCGTCTACTGCACAGGCGATAGGCATTCGAACTATATTCAACCCAAACTATGCATTCAAAAGAAGTTCGTACAGCCATTATCCCTCCCTTGTTGGCCTATTAAGACCTAATCAACTGATGACTTCCTCACCACCCCTTACTTACTTATATTTACAACCCCTCTCTTGTCATCATCCCTTAATCTTATCACATCTTCATTAAAAACGTGTTTCATTTACTTTCCTTACAATCAATCTAGCATTCCTTAATCGGTTCATTTATTTTTCTTAGCGTTTACCGACTACTGCATTTACCTGAACATTTGTTTGTTTAATCACGCTGTTTTTCGTTATTCGTGTTATCACATATCGCCTCAATTTTTCTTCCTTATTATTGATAAGACTATTATTATTATCATTACTACTATTATGACTTATTGCACAATTTATATTCACCATCGTATTATCCTATAGACAAAACACCATGATTGGTTCATATTTTAAGACTTATTTGTTAAGTTATGTAGGTATGTATGTATGTACTTAACCAGTAGCAACAATAACAACAAAAAGTACCAATCACCATCAACAGGAGGAATTTGAAAGAAGTCACCTGTTTCACTTATCTAAGCATCTAGACAGCATCGTTTTAAATACAGGCAACACGGCTGAAGATGCCAGTTAACTTGCTCTTGCGGAGATGAGTACATCGGTCGTACCATGCTCCGACTTGAAAAACGCGCTCGTGAACACTATTCAGCCTGGCTAGTAAAAGGAGAACGAAAACGTGTATACAGTTCAGTGACAGAAAATCTGGTCAATTCAGCGCCATTCAAAAAATCCTTCAAAATAATATACGAGATTCGATCAAACCTACCAAAGGGAGTAAAATTAAGACAACTGGGCATAGCCGAGGCACTAGCTATTCAAAAGCTCAAACCCACGCCATGTATCCAAAAGAAATATGTCCAACCCTTGACCCCGCCATGGTCATCATAAACAGGTAATTCTTTTAGTAATGACCATCCCATTGCCTTTCTTACCTAAACTTCCTGTTTATTCATGTTGCTTTTACGTTTTTCTTAATCCCCATTTACACTACCATGATTTCAAATCCGAACTTCCTGCCTCTTTTTTGTCATTTTATTATTTCTACATATTTAATCCCTAATTGCAGAAACAATTATTCGTCACATTAGTTTTGATCCCACTAGATGTTTTTTATCCAAACACCCTGTCTATTTTTGTTATTTCTACATTTCTAACCCTTAATTGCACAATCAGTGTCAATCTTCTCAGTAATTATGAAGCTACTTTGCTTGAGTTTTATCCATCCCCCTGTTTATTATGGCATTTAAATTCTTAATTGTAATTTTATTAATTTGACCCTTGGCCGGAAATTATTCTGGAACTTTCCCACCCATTTATCATAAATACATGAATGTACAGCTATCTAGTTGATGACTTTGTCAAAAAGAGAATTTTCTTCGCTACAACGGTCTTTTTAATAATTCTTATGTAGGTATATTAGAGTTAAGCGTGATGATGAGATCTAATTGAAAACACAATATCACTGTTCGCTTAAATGTCTTGTTCTAAATTTTACTATGGGATTATTTAATATATTGAAAATCTAACAGTTGAAATGAATTCGAAATCCCCATAAACTCTATAATCTGAAAAACAGTCACCAGCTCACTAACCAGCTACTGGATGGATTTCTCGAATTCATGACCAGTGCGCTTCACTACATCAACAAAGTGAAGTGGATGCTCACCGAAGAGACATTGGTGAAGGAGGTGTTGTATCACAAGCTGATCAAAACAGAATTCCTACGTCATTGAAATCCAGACCAAGTGGCTGACTGGTCAATGGGCAAGTTCTTCTAACCTGAAAGGGCCATGTATGCACACTACTGTTGAGTGCGAAAATAGGACGAAACAGTTTTTAATGATCTCTCTAACATGATGAAAATATAACAATTGGATATTCAAGTATTCGTTTGTAGGGATTTTATTTGATTAGTTACAGGATTTCATCATCAGCTGACATTGGTTGGAGAACCATTGGAAAACCAACAGGGATTAGTAAACAGCCAGCTGTTTCGTCCTAGTTTGAGGCTCTTCAGTATGGGCCATTGCAGTGAGTACTAGGAGCTGATGAATGGTCTAATTGACTGATTATTATTATCATGGTCTTCGTCAAATGGCCTTAAACTGAATCCTTATAAATGTCAGACAGTTAATTTCAGTTTCCGACGTAAAAGAAAGTTAAATGAAGCTGTTGGTTCTTATGACCCTTGCAAAATTGATGATATTGATATAGAAAACCAAGTTTGAAGTTAAGTATCATGAATTTATTCTTTCTACTGACCTATCCTGGTCTTCCCAGATGTCTAAGCGATTTCTAAAAGAATATTTCCTCTGACTTTTTACATTAGGATGTCAAGGCACTCAGGCATAACTCAACCCCTTCTCCACTTATAGTTTTTCGACTAGTGCATCTTACCTATCCTTCTTCTTTACTGTTCACCCTTATTCTTTCCTGGATTGCTTAAAAAAGACTGTCAGTAGGGCGAGTGGTGGTATCCCATTGGGCCATATCATTGACATTGTCACTGATAGGCACTTGATGTCATGCAACAAATTTGTTAAAGGATTTTTGTCAGATTCTGAGCACCCACTTTACCCGCAGCTCTAACCTTGTGTCTCCTGAGGTAAAACAAGAAGTCTTTTCAGAAGAATTTATGCGCGTACGTCTAAGTATAACAATTCCACTATATCTTATTTGGCACGTACTTTATGTGATGAAAATAGCGTCAGAAATGAACTAACTAACCTTCTTTGCGCTACTAAATAAACTATTTCCTCCACCCTTACAACATCAACCTTTATTGTTATTGTACTTCTTATATTTATTATTCTCTCAATTTTTTGTTTATTTTTTCATAATTGTGAACATCATTTAAGCTGTGTTATAACTGTTAATTTTGTATTTCCCCTCACCATACTACGTCAACAGAACATTAGATTCAATGATCTATAACATGCCAAAGTTTCCAAACTGAATCGCCAAAACTGTTTGAAACAAACTCATCATTATTATTACTATTACATTTAATATTCTGAAATGGTGCTTCGAATATTTTTGACTTTATATCGTAAGTGTGGACAAATTCCTCTGGTTAATTTTGTTTATATTATGAGTAAATCAGATGCAAGATGTTGTGACAAATGCTGAGAATTCCATTCTGTATTATAAGTACTGTTTTTGGAATAAAGTAGATTATTATTATTATTATTATTATTATTTAGGAGCACTTTGTTAAAGTGTATCAAGGGAACAAACAGAGGTTGTATTGTATCAACACATGCTACTGATGAAGCTGAAGCTGTCTGTGATACATTAGCCATACTTGTCAATGGATGTACACTGTAAGTAGCAGTAATAAAGACTAACGTGTTGTTGCTTTACATCTCTTTTCATTGTTATTCATTTGTTTGACAACTCTCATAAAGTTCTTTACTACTCATATCACAATCAGTAGTGCTTGCTAGCTAGCCAAATTGAAGCAACATAGGATGGTTGATGTTGAACAGCAAAATGGCCGTCCCTTTTTTATTTGATCACCTCAATCTGGCTAGCTGGTGAGTACTACTACTTATATCAATCAATCAGTAGTATGTAGGTTTATACGAATATAATTGCTTTCTTGAGTATTATGCATGATATCAATTTGATTTCCTAAAGAAACTGTGGTGAAAACTTCACTTCTCGAACTGTGTACATCACCAGTTGCCAGCTAATTTACAGAATGTGAAGGCATTTTAAACCCTGAAGTTTCATTAGCACATATATTGTCTTTAAAGCGTGGGGTTGCTAGCCTCACGCCCAACCTGTCTTATTTCCCGAGCATACTACCTGCTGAACAAGGCTTATCAGTACGTCTGCTGGGAATCAAACTCCAACTGATTGCATAGTAGGCAAGCATTGAACCGTTGAACTACTGACGCACTTTTTCATTTTCTCTGTTTTGTCTTTGCAAAAATTTCATAAAGCTGTCGTCTGTTCACCTGACTTTTGTTGGATAAAGTCTAACAGTATACTACTTAGATTAGACTACTGTTAGTAATATAAACTGTACGTTACCATAGTGTTGTAATGCAATAATGCATATTTTCAAACTATCAAAAAGCTATCAAAAAATAGTACTTGTTAAATGTTGCTCTGAGTAAGCAAGTGGAATATATTTATTATTATTATTATTAATTATTGTTCTATTGAGTTCTGAGTGGAACACAGGGCTTCAACAAAACATCCCCACTTTGTCTTATTCTCGGTAGTTCTCTTTCGGTGAAAACCATGGTCACCCATAGTCTCTCATCTTCTCCATAACACCGTCGAACGTCCCACTGGTCGTTTCTCATTCGGATTCCACTCGAACAATGGCCTATTGCACGATGTCACCCGATGGTCTCCCCAGTGTGTGTGTGTGTGTGTGTGTGTCAGATCCATCTCTATTTTCTTTGGCGTATTTACTGAGCGATGGGTTCTTGATTGGTTCGTCTCCAGAGTTTCTTGTTACTTATTCTTTCTGGCCGGCCATTTGATCTTCAGTATGCAGCCAGCCAGCGAAGTGGGCAGCTGTTGATAAAAGTCTGCAACTAGCTGTTGAAAATCCTTTTCGTGACAAGCTGGTCAAGATTCTGACACTTATAGAAGAAATAACTTAACATTTCTGATGAACAGAATCCGAATTTTGTTGTTTATACTGAGGCGGAGTGTAGGAGATTTCCAAACTGATTTCAGAGTGATGAAAGTCTGCCATGTTTTTCCGATTCTGACTGTTTTTGACATCCTTATCCGTACCTGCTTGTGTAGTTGAAACGATGGAGTTTGGATAAGCGGGGGAAGTAGCATCTTTCAAATTTGTCCCGTTGATATTGATTGGTGCTTCGTGTTATTGTTGGTTGGTTACTTTCATTACTTTAGATAGCATATTAATTAAATTACCTGTACATATATTAGTCAGAAAAGTGATCTTATACGCCTCCATTCAATCGATTGTGTTGGTTTGTTCAATATGGTCAGCAATAATTAAATTATAGGTAGAAAATGTTTGGCAAGGATTGAGAGTCAGTCTACGAAATCATTGTTTGTGAATGCCATAGTCACCACCTCAAAAAATTTTGTATTATTCAGGATTACTCACACTACCACCACAAACACTGCATTAGACCTTGGTAGACTTTGGTACTTTTTCGCATTCATAATTATTTTGTGTTTATCCTGTTTTTTTGTTTTTGCTGTTGGTGTCTTCAGATTTATTTTTTTATTTGTTTAATACTTATTTTAAATGTCGGTAAAATTAGATGCAAATATTGTAGATATGTACTGAAAATTCCACACTGTACCACTAGTACTGTTTCTGGAATAAAGCAAATTATTATTATTATTATTAAAAATTGTGAAATCACATCGATTGAGATAACTAGGACACATGTTATACATAACAAGCAACGTTTTTGGGAATCATCAGCAGTACACACCCATCACAGGGGTTCGAACACAGGACCTTCAGGTTATAAGGCAAGCTAGCTCGTATACCATTCAGCCACTGGGACCCGACTCGTCAATGGCCAGCCAATAAATTCTAACTTCTACCAGTTCACAACATAGCGCGACCACTTAAAAATATCTTCTACGGCGAATAAATGTCGTCACCTTTGACTTGCTGTACCCTAATGGTCACGGCTTCCAATTGCTCAAACCCAGTGCCCATAGTTTCTAACGCCAAAGCGTTATCCACTAGACTACCTAGGTCACAAGAGCCAGCTCGGTGGGAACATCATTACTCACTGCGGAATGCAGGTACATCCAGTTGTCGAACTAATACCAAATAGGACGAAATGAGCCTCCTGGATTCCACTGCTAGTCACCATCCACCAATTAACTTCTAATCACATGCCCAGACATTGTCGAAGCATCTGCACAAGAAGCCAACATGTCAACCTGAGACCAAGCACTTCGGTCCAATCAATCGACGGGAAAATCTAAAATTGAATTAGGAAATTACACTGTTTATAGTATTTAACAAAAGTAGACTAATATTTGTTAGAACAAGACGTATTCGCGAACAATATTGTTGTTTTCAATTAGATCTTCTTCAGGCTTCACTCTAATTTACATAGATTTATATATAAAATTTTAACCAATGACGGTGATTTTGGGAATCAAATAATAATCTTAATAGTCTTAATAATAATAATAATAATAATGTGGTAAATGTTTTGAACGTAGTTAATAACGATGATTATAATGATAACAAAATATTGATAATAAGGTTTATGCAGGTGATAAGAATAACAAAGATAGTAGATGTATATAAGTGTATAAATAAATTGGGTCAAATCTTAAAAGGTGAAGTGGAACGATAATCAGAGTTTAAATAAATATTATAAAAGTACAAAGGAGGTGGAAAATAAGAAAGGGTGGGAGGGTTTTGAATACAGTTCACCTAGGCCAAGGGAGAGACAAAGGTAGAACAAACTTCTTTTGAATGCAAAGACTAGGATTGTTCTCTCGAATTCCCATAGCTTCGGCTAGGTGTAAAAGACGGTTTCTGATTCCATTCGAAAGACTCGATGGAATACGATAGATAACTTTGAAAGCACTATTTTCGTCCATTTGGCGACCGCTATCAATCAAATGAGCCAAAATAGAACTTCGTATGGATTTTATTTGACCTTTTCCGAACCATGAAGGAAGATGCTCATTAATGCGTTTGTTCAGCTGTCTAGTTGTTCGCCCTATATAGCTTTCTCCACAGAGGCAAATAAATTTATAGACACACATCGAAGTGGCACAACTAGGTAGCTTATCTTTCACTTGAGTAATCAAAATTGGTCGGCTGGAAAATGACAAACAAAGGGTGGCGGCAGTATAAGTCCGTTTTATCGCTCTCGATAATCTCAGCTGTAAGACTTCACTAGCCACGTCCCCATTAAATTGAAGTTTCATGAACAGTTCTTTCTTTTTAACTGTTGTCAGTTTCTCTTTGTTGTACCTGGTATTCATGTGTCTCCTAACAAATCTACTAGGATAACCCATTTGGACCAGCGTATTTTGGATATATCCTAGCTCATTTTCTAGGGAGTCATCTGTACAAATACGTCTTGCTCTATTCGTAAGGCATCTGACTAAATTGATTTTATATCGGATTGGTACAAAACTGAGGAAATGTGTATATTGTCCTACAGATGTAGGTTTTCTATAGACATCTCTCTTGAGTGAACCATCCTCTCTTCTGCTCAATTGGACGTCAAGGAAATGTAATCCACCATCATGTTCTTCTTCACAAGTGAAGATGAGTGATGGATGTGCATCATTAAACTTTTTTAACATTTCATTCTTGTCAGTTTTCACATCAAGAATAATGAACGTATCATCAACATAACGAAAATAAGAATCAGTTTTCTCTATTACTTGTCTCAATGGACCATTTTCAATCTTGGCTAGAAAGAAATCTGCCAAAATTGGCCCCAATGGAGAACCCATGGCAATACCGTCGATTTGCCTGTAGTAAAGGTTGTTGAATAAGAAATGTACATTCATAGTACATCTTAAAAGCAACTCTTTCAGACTAATAACTGGAATTCCGATGTCAATCTGCTTTTCTAGTATCTGTTGGCATATGAAATCCACAGTCTCCATAAGTGGTACATTGGTAAACAGTGACGCTACATCTAAGGAAAGCATTTGCTTCCCATTCACATTGATATCATTCACGTTAGCAATAAATTCGAAAACGTCTTTAACATTATGGTTTACTACCAATTTGTGTAGCGGTTGGAGGAGTTCACCTAGCCACTTTGCCACTCCATGGTAGGTAGAATTTGACATATCCAGGACTGGGCGAAGAGGAAGTCCTGGTTTATGTATTTTGGGCAGACCGTACAGACGTGAAGTATTACTTCCAGTAGGTTTAAGACGGTTATAAGCTGCCTCTGAGATTACTCCACTTTTACTCAGTTCCTTAAGCGTGTTAGTTAACTGCTTTTCAGCCTTTCCGTCCAGATCTATTGGGTTGATAAGCTTTTGGAACTTCGTTTCATCTCTTAAAAGTGAGTTCATTTTGTCGACATAATCACACTTATTCATCAGTACTACTCCAGTTCCTTTATCAGGTCTACTGATTACAATGCTTTCGTTGTTCCTTAGCTTTCTTAGGGCTTCTCTATGCTGTTTAGTCGGCAAACTCTTACCAGGATGACTATTGTTTTTATACTGTTGACGACTGTCGACTAGTGTAGTTTTAAACCTAGCGACTTCATCGTCTGACGTTGAGGTCAAATCTATTGTTTGTAGGAGGAGGTTTTCAAACTGGATGTTGGTATCGAGTTGGTTGACCTTATATCCTTGGTCACAAAATCTAAGACCCAATGATAGAGCTTCTAACCGTAATTTATCTAGTGTTACACTTGAAAAATTATGGACGTACCGATAAGGATCTGAGGGGAATGAAGGGAAATCCTTTTCAGGATTTTGACTGTCTAATGATTTGATTAGTTTCGTTCTCCTTTTCTCTGCTCTGCTTTGGCTAACTCTGTCGACATACTCAATGAAATCAATTAATAAATCCTGAGGAAGTTCATCGACTGCAAATTTCTTCTGTGATAAATTTCTTTCTATATCCGAAATGTACATTTTTAAAGAGTCCAATAGGTTAAGTGCATAACGTTTCAGTGATCGGGAATTTGGATAAACTTTATTACGACGAAGAGATTTCCAGTAAATTTTGGGATATCGATTATTATTTAAACAGTCATTTATAAAATCTAAACATGTTTTCGCTTCTGTGAGTCTGGCATTATACTTCAAGTACTCATTGAGTGCCTTTAATGCACTGGGATCCACACGTGATTTCAAATCTTTAAATATTCCCATTTATAATATTTGTTAGTCTGAGGTCAGATTTTGATCACGTTTCATACAGTTTTGTTTATTATACATGTTGATGACTGTTTCATGACTCATATGATTAAACAAAGTTTTTAAAAACAAGAGATGTCGTTTTTATCATATATAATCCTCTGTAATGTTAATTTCCATTAATTCCTGAAGAAGTTCGGACCAGTTCGCCGAAAACAGGGAGCGTTGGAATTACTTATTTCAATTTCGTTGAGCTTTTTACAAATATCACTGCGAATTGGTCGCACTATGTTGTGAATTGGCAGAATTTGGATCTGTGCATCGGATTGGGTCCCAGTGGCTGATGAATGGTCTCCGAGCTAGCTAGCCTTGTAACCGGAAGGTCCTGGGTTCGAACCCTTGTGGTGGTGGGTGCTTACTGATGAAGAGTCCCAAAAACAAGACTGAAGAAACAGCTGGCTGTCCAGTACTCCCTACTGGTCTTCCAATGGTTCTCTAACCGATGTCAGCTCATGATGAAATCCTCCAACCAACCAAACTAAATCCCTACAAACCAATACTTGATAAATATAACTTTTAATAAGTACCTTTCAATTCAACTCACTTAAACATATATTTAAGCTTTTCCTGGTTTTCTTCTTCTTTTTTTCTGCTTATTTAGATCTATCGGTTCACCATATCTTACAAAAGGTACATGTAGTAAAGGCTTGATTGTTGATGTGAAAATGTCACGTGATTACAACTTACCACCAGCAAATGCCGATGATGAAGTACAACATAATATGGAGGCATTTATTCGACGAATACGTATTATGTGTAAAGATATAACAATAATTGATCAATTCGGTGATCGTGTTTGCTTACAAATTGATTCACATTTGGAACAACCATTTAAGGCAACATTAAATAGATTATTAACAGGTAAGTAAGCAATTAAGGTGATATGTTTTGCCAACGTTTCCACCTGGCTCCACATCTGCCCACATGCTTTCATCTCCTCTTCACATCACCTCCTTCATGTCACCCTCGCACTGAAGATGAACTTGACGCTTCCCATTCGGGTCCCACTCCAGCGATGGCCTGGCGTGTGATGTCACCTGATGGTTTGTTTTCTCAGAGTATGGCCACCAATCCATCTCCATTTCTTCCTGCATATTTGTTGCACAATCATTTCCTGCTGGGTTGATCCGTTCATTTCCAGAGATCTCTCCCTGTTGCTGATCTTTTCTGGCCGGTCATCTGATCTTGAGTAGTACTGAGCACAGACAACTGTTAATGAAGGTCTGTAGTTTGTTCTAAGTGCCCTTGGTGACTCGGCGCCAAGTCTCTGGTCCGTGTAGTAGCATTATACCGATATATATATTTTTGAAAATTATGTTATGTTTGATATTACACGGGTGCTTTTCTTCGGTTCGAGTCTTCGTGGGGGGAGGGGGGGGAAACCACCACTACCCAATAAGATGCAAGTACATCCAGGTGATAAGTCACAAATCGGACGAACCACCAGACCTAGATTCTACTGCTAGGCACTTCCAAATCAGTAACTTTAAGTTCTAGGTAATCATGATAAAAACTGAAACATCTTTTCAGAGACTTCCGATGTGTCGAAATCAGGTTGATCAAACGGAAAATCACATATACAAACAAGTAGGTTCATTTCGTAGATAACAGCTGGACATTTAAAGTGTTGCGTGTTGGATTAAAGGCGTCATTGGAAATGCCATAGAACACTCACTAGTGACTATGTACACTCAGCTGATGCATTTCGAATTCGGATAAAGCGCATGTCCTAGAATCAACTACTAGCCAACACTAGGTGTGTAATTTGAATAAAGCAAGAACAACAGTGGTTTGTGCGGAATAATATGGCACCATCATTTATTTCGTTGGCTTCTCATCATCCGCTTACAGCCTAAATAAATTGTAAGGCTTGCGTACAGAAAAGTTTTAACACACTTGCAAATTTTTACATGTTGTCAGTTGAAAAAAAGTTCCACAATAAGTGAACAGTGCTCAGAAAATTGTGCTTATATAGTTTTTACACAGACAGTTCAAGTTTAAACAAAATAAATGTATGCATACAATGGCAAAGGAGTTACGTAATAAAGAAAAAATATGCGTTAGATACAGAGTGACTAATAAATTAGGTAACAATGTACTGAGTTCAACTCAAATCATAGAAACAAGAGACAAGCAAAATTACAGATTATAAAAAAGAGGGGTGAGGTTAAAGACAAAGATTACGCAATCAGATGAGAGAATAAAGAAATTCAGTTACCAGGGCAAGGAAAGACTAATAACTGCTTCTTTCTGAACACATAAATCTGGTTTCAAGCGTTTGATAGAAATTGCTTCGGCAAACTTGAGGAGAATGGAATTCCTTTGTCTATTGATAATTTTAAAGGATTTCTCAATATCTACTTCATGACCCGTGTCGAGAAGATGTCTAGTAATAGCGCTACTATAAGAGTTTGCTCCCTTGAGACGTAGGCTTTTTGGCACATGTTCAGAAAATCGGAGGTGTGCCTTTCTTTCTGTCCTTCCAATGTAACTGCTCCCTCAGATACACGTAAATTTGTATACACAGTTGGAGTTAACATGAGAAAGGTATCTATCGACTTTTGACTGCAGGATAGGCTCTGGCTAGTGACGTTTCTGCAATGTTTTCACCTAGGTGTGTAATCATGGTGTGGTAGTGTGATACAGACAATGGGTTCCAATGGAATATTATTCTCACAGTAAGAATCATTGTATATTTGTTGGTGTTAACTTCTGAGTACTATTCCCACAGTTCAGTAGTGTATTAGCAACAGAATACTATGCATATGTATTTGAACATTCTATTTCATGTCGTTTAATGTAAACCAAAATCACACGCTCAGTGATTGGTTAAAGAATATACACTGTATACTGTATAGATATGTAAATAGCTGTTTGATCACTTGAAGATCATATACCTTGGCTTCTATGTCTTGCCTTCTACTGTTACAATGGGAATAATATTGAGGCACCAGTTCAAAGATGAATGCATAAAATCAATATACTATAAACTGACTGAAGTGAGTAGTGGTCTATCACTTACACCAATCGGGTAGAGCTTCCTAGCTAGTCAGATCGAAGCGAGATAATCACCTCCCCCACCGGGCGGCCGTTTCCCTAATTTGTAGGCGAGCTCATTAGCGGTGTACCAGCTTTGGCTCAGCGAGTTCGGCGTATATGCCCCCCTTTTTCTATTTCACTATGCATGTTTCTTTGTTGGTTCGCTGTCTGCCAGAGTTCCTGTATGATTATCCTCTCTGACCGGTCACCTGACCTTCAGTATCCAGTGATGGCAGGTGTTAATGCATATATATTTATATATAATTGAGTCACGCTTCGTCTCTAGTAGACTCGTTCAACAATGTACACAAAAGCATCACTTTCACGATGGAGCATGAAGATGATGAAAATTTCCATTTTTTTGAACGGAAAGTTGGCGAGAAAATACGACGGGACACTCGTGGTCTTTACTTGAATTTCAGCAGCTTCTGCTCATTGAGATACAAACGAACTCTGGTGAAAACTTTTTTTTCTACAGCGAAGAGAATATGTTCACTAAACAAACTAGACAGTGAACTGATGCTTCTTGAAAAATGCTTGAAAGAAAATGGTTACCCCACAAAGTTTCATTAACAAATATGGCAAGAATGTATTCAAGAAGCTTGATACAGCCACAGCCAGTAAGAAGCCTATTTTCATTAAACTCGACTACAAGGGCGACGACATTATGAGAATGGTAAGTAAAAGATTAAGCGCAGCCTTGTCTAGGACGTATCCTGCAGCATAATAAGTCTCTCTACCCCGAACAACCTCCTCACTGGTGCAGTCAAAGATTGACAAGTATCCCTCACATGTTACCTCCTACTGTGTATACCAATTCACATGTGTCTGCGGAAGCAGTTACATTGGAAGAACAGAGAGGAAGGCCTACGTCAGATTCTGCGAACATGTACCAAGGAGCCTCCGGTTAAAGGGACCGAGTTTTTTAAGCTCTTCAATCGCCAAGCACCTGATTGATACAGGACACCGAGTAAATGTCCTGGAATCATTCAAAATAATTAACAAACAAAGTAGTACCTCAAGTTTTCTCAGGTTCGCTGAAGCTATAGCAATAAAACGACTGAAGTCTGACTTATGTGTCCAAAAAGAATCCGTTGTTGGACTTCAATTACGCTGGTGAGACTCACATCTTAGTAACTCTTTGTTTTCCAATTTTGTTTACCTATCTTTTCACTCCCCACCCCCCGCTATATTTTTCGATTGACTCTCTAAAGAGATAATTTTTTCTTGATCTTCTGAGTTCTGCTGACTGCATTACACCATCAGCTTCTCATCTGACCTCATGTGCACCGAAATTTTGATCTTGTCTTATCTAATTAGGTAACTATAGCTAATTTTCTTTTGTTACCACCTAACAACACAACTGTTAATTAATTTTTTTCAAGAAACTTCTCTCTAACAAGATATATCTATATATATGTCGCAACACTTTAGACTCGGGAAGGCGAGAAACACATTCATCCACCTGAAACAAATATGGAAATCTTCGTCACTCAGCCTGCATCAACAACAAAATTCGGATTTTCAATACAAACGTCAAGTCAGTCAGTTCTTCTATAAGGATCAGAAACTTCGCAGGTCACAAAGAATATTTCCAACAGCCTGTTGCAGACATTTATCAACAACTGTCTTCGCTGGCTCTATACTGAAGATCAGATGGCCGGCCGGAAAGAATCACCAACAAGAAACTATGGGAACAAACAAAACAAGAACCAATCACCCAACAAATATGCAGGAGAAAGTGGAGATGGATTGGACACTCGCTGAGGAGGCCGCTGGGTGACATCGCGCGTCAAGCCATAGCTCGAGTGGAACCCGAAAGGGAAGCGGCGAGTGGGACGTCTGAGAGTGACATCGAGGAGATCGTGTGAGGAGGAGCTGAAACAGAATGGACTAACATGGATGCAGGTGAAAAGTACAGCAGAAGACAGAAGCAAGTGGAGACGTGTAGTTGAAGCCCTATGTTCCACTAGGAACCCAAGGGAACAATAATAATAACACTTTAGACACCTTGTAAATCGCAACGCCTTATTTCACTATGACGCTCTGACAATATGCTTGCTAATGGACAAAAGTTTGTTAAAATTGTACACTTTTTATTTTTATTTTATTAAAGAATTCAGGTTGTACACAGTTGCTGATGAGAACCGACGAAATAAAACTTGATCCAGTTTATTCCGCGCGTCAATGTTTCTTCTTTCTTTGTTCAAATTTATAAAAAAAAAGGGAAGAATCATTGTATGAAATAATTCTTTTTTTTTATTTTGTCCTTTCAGCTCATCAGTCTGGATTAGTTGAAGATTTTAATTTAACTACACCAACTTTAGAACAGGCATATTTTGAATTGGCTAAAGCCTATTCTAAACAAAAGGCAACTATCAATTAAATCTGATTTAACTGTTACTATTACTGTTATTATAATTATCAAAAACATCGAAACTCAAATGTATCCTGATTATATTGATTTTTGATTGTTTAAGTAGTATATAAAGTTAGTTGGTTGGTTGGTTGTTTAGTAAGTTAGCTGGTTATTTATTGAGCAATAAAATAATATCTAATATTTATGAATTTTTCAAAAAGTGTTTCCTGGCTGATTCAAAGAGTAACTAACATATTTCACCGTAGAAAAAAATCCTCATTTAGACATTTAGAAAACAGAAAGATTGAGCGAAGAAATATTTACTTTTCAATTAGATCCTCATCCCTCTCTGGCTCTACTCTAATATATTACATATAGCACTTTTATTACAATACACAACAATTTACCAATCAAGTGGCACTGATATGTTTGTTAACAATAATTAGTCAGTGTCAACATGTCAAGACGATGGGTGATAATTAACGAAGAAACTTAATACACACAATTAAAAGGTAGAAATCGTTGAAGCTCATGGATTGCGTAATGCATAATTTTGGAAAAATGAAGAGTGATTAAGGGATAATCGTGTTCACAGGTTGATTGCGTAACAGAGTGTTAAAGGTAATAAAACGATTTGGATACCTGAAGTGGTCATAAGAATAAAATAGTTTTACAAAGATAACATGTAATTCAAGATGAAGTAGTGAGAAAAGATAGTAAATTAATTTGGACAGTTATAATTTTTAAAGGTTTAGGGGGATAGGGGCGAAGTAGTCCAGTTTATACATTCATGTAATGATGGCCAAGGGAAGGGAAGTGGCTGTAGAAATTCCTTCTGAACACACAGGTTTGGCTTCTTCAGGTGGATTCCTATGACTTCAGCTGTGGTATGTACAAGACGAACTCTTAAAGCAAAACTAAGATATGGTAGGAATGCAATAAATAATTTTAAATGCTGTATTAACATCAACTTTATGCTCCACTATCTACTAGGCGTGCTAAAGTAGAGCTACAAAAAGATCTTGTTTGTTCCTTGCTTAACCATGCTGGATGATATTCGGAAATACGATAACGAACCTGCCTAAGTGTACTCTCGATATATCTGGCTTCGCAGCTGCAGTCAAACTGGTAGATACACATAGAGGAGGCAAATTTAGTTAGTTTATCCTTATTTCTCGAACGCAGAATAGGGATGGTTGTGAAGAGACAACCTGTCTCTGCTGCATAATAAGCTCTTGTAACTGCATTCTTCAGGTGTTCGCTGTGTTATTATTTCGTTGATGTTGTCACCGAGGAACTGCAATTTTGTTAACATTCGTTTTTTCCGGAACTGTAGCCATACTGACTCTCCTTGGTACTGAATTCATATTTTTATCAATGAATTTATCTGGATAACCATTTTTTCTAAGTAATTCTCTCTCTCTAATTCACCTTATTGTATGTTATGTGATATGAACCTGTCGGCAGTTGGTTGATGCGACCGGATGGACTTGAATGTCGGTTTGATAACACTGAGCGTGATGGACAACTTAACTCACACACCCCGTCCTTAATGCCTTCCCATTTCCTTAGGTTGTCAGCAAAGAGGTATGGAGTACCAAGTCTGATTACACTGCATATGTCCTTAATGTAAATTACGAAAAGCAGTGCATACACTACCCTGAATACCACTCCACTTCCTATGGGTCTAGGTGATGAGTAATTATTTGAAAATTTCACATCTAAGGAAACCGGTCTTCTAAGAAAGAATTGAGCCAAGATAATAGGGGTTCGCGGAGCCTGTACGACTTTAGCTTTAAGAATTTGTCTCTTGTGTTGGACTTTACTATTAAAGGCTTTTTTGAAGTCGAAGAAGAGAGGGTTGTGACAAACAAACCATGATCACGCTTAGCAGTAACATCGTCAAAGTAGTCAAGTAGGCAGGTGGGGCATGATCAGCTGTTCAAGAAGCCGTGTTGTGCTGGAGTAAACACTTTATGAAGGTAGGAAGCAATAGATTGCCCTTTGACTGTTTGCATAACACTGGAAACTACTGACGTGATAATTATGGGTCTGTAGTTTTCGATATTAGAAGTTGGTCCTAGTTTATGCATAGGGGTTATAAACGACAGTTTCCAGCGCTCTGGGCAACTGCCATTACTTAAGGACAGATAAAAAACCTTAGGAGGATAATAGGTTTGTCCTTACCACCCCTTTTCACCGGGACAGATGGAATTCCAACAGGCCCGGAATTATATGATGTCCGGAGAGATGCTATAGCGGATGAAATTTTTTGTGGGGTGAATGTTATATTGTGGCGAGAGCTGGCTGCTAGCCAAATTGGTAGACAGTAATTTACGTCAATGTTTACGTCCCAAATCTCGTGGTCATGAGAAAAAAACAAAAACTGATTCAAAAATCCATCACAGCAGACTTTGCGTAGGCGGATACAATTTGCAGATAGATAATCTGAACTTCAAAAAACGGCCACAAAGAGATGAAGGATTAACGTTCAGTGAGCAACCCCCAATCAGAAGACTGTATTTGTTTGCTTACAATAATCTATAATAATGTACATGAAAATCTATAAATATGTGTTGATTTCCTCAATAAACAATTTGTTGCCTGGCCATTGTCTTTTGTCGTCACAATATTACCCAAAAAGTGATCTGGTGGTGTTGGGACATCAAGACTACCTACTGTTTCTTCGTTAGTAAAGTAGCTAGAAAAAGTGGGAGCTGAATAACTCGCGTATCTCCTGTTGTTCTTCGTATAGTTTTTCTCCACGTAGTAATAAGTTGGGAATACCTATTCCGTTGTTGCCAATTCGTGATTTAATCAGTTTTACCAATGTCCCTGTATTATCAGGTCGCGAGTGAAGGATGCGTTCTAGTTTGATGGACTCCGATAATTGATTAGATTTGTATGAATCATAATTTTGCCTGAGTGTAATGAGTGATGAAAAGTCACTGTATCTGTAGAATTGCCTAGCATGCTTAAGCAGGCAGTGTCAAATCCTTACGGGGATGAAGTCTGGCTCTTTAGAACTTGGTTTCACCAGTTTTGCTGGAGCGATGAAGTCATGTGCAGAGTAAATTTTTTGTCGCTATAGCCGAGCTGCATGTAAAGTATGACCTCCAGTCTGGAGTGCGTAGGTATGGTTTCAGGTCATCCCACTTAGCGTGTCTGTAACCCCTAGGTAATACTGTTTTGGCTTTTTATTGTTGAACTCATGCTGGTGTAAGTATTGAATGTACCAAATACTACTCTGTGGTCGCTGCCGGGAAACTCATTACCTACTCGAAGGGCGGTGGGAATGATACCATTAGAGAAAACTACATCTAAAATCCTAGATAGCCTGGTGGGATGCTTTTACGTGTTGTTGCCCATCTTTTGTTTCAAAAATTGTTCAAAAATTCATTGTACCATTTTGGTAAACAAAGTGGTTGCAAGACTGCATCAGACATACTAAAGTTTCCACATATAATTTTCAAGTAATTTTAGCTGTGTGAGGTAGTGAAGTGGCGTAAGCGAAAGTGTTAGTAAGCTTCTTATCATCTTGAACAGCTGAGCATGGGGGATGATAGATGCAATCTATAAGGTAGGAATTGGAGTGAGACAGCCTTAGAATAGCCCAAACTGAGTTGTTATCTGTCATGAGCTCTGGGTAGCCTTAATATCAGACCTGATATACATAGCACATCCTTCCCCTCTGTCGTGGTTTCTGTCACTCATGAATACGTAGTAGTTATCAATAGAAACATCCCTACTGCAAATCTGAGGAATGCACCATGTTTCAGTAATCATTATGAGGGATGGATTGCAAATTAAGGATAATGTCGTGAAGTCGAACATTTTGTTGAGTAAGGAGCGACCATTAATCAGACAGAATGAGAGAGAGTTAAGAATGACGGTGAAATCGTATATATCTTCAAAACCGTTGTTCCTAAGGTATACAGCGTCTGGAGTAGGTTGTTCGATAAGCACTAACTCAGATGATGGCAACTTACCGGCAGTGCTGGAATGGCGCGCTACACCAGTATCAACACACAGAGAGGTGGCATCGTTGATTACTTCGGGGAGCGGGGGCGGATGAAGTGTTCGTAATACCGTGACTGCAATGCATCGTCCTCCCTTCTGGAGACAATTGGTTTGACAGTATGTGTGCTATTTGCCTCAATATTGAAACGGAGATCTCGTATTTGCTGAAAAAATGTAGATTGGATGAAGAGGAGGCAGGTATTTCTTGTGGATATTCTGCCGGAGTAGAGTCGCGTGCGTCACCGTTATGACTAATACTTTTAGTGTTTAAGTTATTTCTGTAAATATTAGTCTATCGACGATCTTGGGTAGTCTGTATCCGGTGGTTTTCGAGGTTGTGGGGAGTCAGAAGGCAACCTTTAGAAGACACACCTAACCCACTTGTTCCTCGTTGCAGAGATCCCTGGATCATATTTCCGCGTATATAAGCCATAGATAGGGAAGTTGTGTCGGGGTAGATGCATGCATACCTGTCAGTAGGCTCTCAACTTAGTCTTAGGGTGACCAGAGAAGTAGCGTCTGCTGTGTCTATCGGGTGAATATTTGTTTGGTGTTGGACGAATCGATGAGTTACCTCTCTTTCCATTGACGTCATATTTTTAGTAGTATGAAGGGCTTATTCAACTTTTCTAGGTTAATTGTAGGATTGAAGTTGCTAAAGTTAAGGGTAATGGGCTTGCTGCTGAAAAACCTATCAGTAAACGATTTTAATACAGGTATCCTGGATGGTAGGGTTGCATTACTTCGTTTTCTATGCATACTACTCTGAGTGCTACTTGGGGACGTTCTATTTATCGGTATATGCTCGAGCTTGGCCTTTTGAGTAATATTGCTTGATAGTGGTATTACTAAGCGACCAGTTAGCAGCTGATGGTGATGATACGTCTGGCGAGCATGACTCCAAAGATGAATCTAAGTCTATGACGTTAGTTGCTTCATTGTCGGGTTTACTTGGAGAACTGCTATTGTTTAAGGGTATTTAATCTACATGCGCGTCTGTAACAGTT